ATCAAAGGTATCCACCTACTAAATATGAAAGATATCATTAAAGAAATTAAGCAATTAGGAGAAATTTAAGATAAATCCAACTTGCCGAAATAGGTTAACCAGACAAGGCCCTATTTTCAAAGTGAAACTAGAAATGTGTCCATAGGACACGGATGCCCCCACACGCCACTGTTCTGTCAATCTTATGACTCTAAGTCAAATATTTTTTGGACTACATGTGCCACAAGTTGAAAACTAAAAATCAACAAAGGGCCATAATTCTGTTAAATTTGGTCGCAGCAAAAATTCCTTCCTTTATTACCATCTACACATTAAGTTTGTTAATCCCTGGAAGTTTAAGCAAAATCTGCCATCCGGTTAAAGAGGAGTTGCGTTCACAAAATTTCTACATAGTATATAGTGAAAAAATCAACAAAGGGCCATAATTCTGTTAAATTTGGTTGCAGCAAATATTCCTTCCTTTACTACCATCTACACATTAAGGTTGTTCATCTCTGGAAGTTTAAGCAAAATCTGCCATCCGGTTTAAGAGGAGTTGCTTTCACAAAATTTCTACATAGTATATAGTGAAAAAATCAACAAAGGGCCATAATTCTGTTAAATTTGGTCGCAGCAAAAATTCCTTTCTTTACTGCCATCTACACATTAAGGTTGTTCATCCCTGTAAGTTTAAGCAAAATCTGCCATCTGGTTTAAGAGGAGTTGCGTTCACAAGATTTCGGGACGTACGGACTGACGGACGGACATACCAAACTTTGATGTTTATGAGGCAAATGAGCTCATAAACACCACCTGGACCAACGTCCATAAGCAAAATAAGCTCATAAAAACAAAAAATAGCTCTTAATTTTAAATTTTATGAGTTTATGTTCTTTATTTAACTACGGAATGAAGCTCATAATAATCAAATGTTGGCTCGGACTGACGGACGGACAGACGGACGGACAAGTGCAACGCTATATGCTCCCACATTGTGGGGGCATAAAAAGGGAAATAACTGGGAAATATGGATGACACAGTTATATTACTTGGCAATATCATGTACTTTGTATTGATAAGTAAGTGTGGAAATTACAAAGCCATTAGTATAGATAGAACTTAAGATATTTCCAACTTGCCGTTTTAGGTTAACCATTATTCATTTTCTAAGTGCTGAAAAGGGCAATAACTTGGTAAATATGAAAGCCAGAGTTATGTAACTTGCCCAGATCATGTACTTTGTATTGATTAGTAAGTGTGTAAACTTAGAAGCCATTGGTACAGGTAGAACTTAAGAAAAATCCAACTTGCCGTTCTAGGTTAACCTCGTACGAACAGACGGACGGAAGGACAGACGGTTCAATAACTATATGCCCGTGGGCATAAAAAGATATAAAATTCGGCTAAATATAAGACTATAAGATTTTTGGCATGGTTTACAAATGAAATGAACTAAATGGCAGGTAATGAACTCTTGAACCAAAAACCCTGAGTTGTTTCCCTTTAATTTATGTAAGAGTTTGTAAATGGGCCATAACTCTGCACAAAACCAATTAACTTGAAATGCAAATGATTAAACATATCTAAGGTTGACACTCACATGTTAGAGAGGGTTTCAATTGATCCAAAAAAAAGTTGGTAACACTAATACTTACACACAAACAGCTAAATTATACATATGATTATAAAGCTGTAAAATGCCATAACTATATCTTTACCTTAGTGCAGTAATGGCTTAACTTCATATATAATTTTATAGGAGTTAACCTGTTACTGCAGTAAGGTAACAATATACCTCTATCGAAGCATAAAAATTACAATATATCTGTTCTAGCGCAAAAAAAGTATGATAGCAAAATGTTTAACTGACATAAGCTCAAAATGCCACACTTTAAACTTCCTATTTTGAATATGATGCTAATGACGTAAATTCAACAATATGCACAAATGAAGAATAACATAAATTTTTGGCAAAAAAATGTGAAATTTTGACAAAGCGAATTTAAAACATTCTACATTAATATATGAAGAATCCCTAGAAATAATCTTCTTAATAACAAGCACATAATTATGGCAAGAATATGCTAAATTGTATACATGTATTTCAAAAAGATTGATAACAGGGTCCTCTAAGAGTATATATTAAAGTCAAAACCAAATTTTAACTAAAAGGATTTTCTAAAATTCATTTTTCTGCTGTTTTCCTGTTGTTTTTCATTGCAATTTTAACTCATTTTTAGTCATTATCCCTGCCGTTGGTGCACCGGACCACCTGACCAGCTGTCGTTGATAAATAACCAGTACCAGTTACAAGTTACCAATTTCTCCAAAAGTGACCAACTTGTAATCCCATAATTGAGCCGTGTCACGACAAAACCAACGTAATGGGTTTGCGACCAGCATGGATCCAGACCAGCCTGCGCATCCGCGCAGTCTGATCAGGATCCATGCTGTTCGCTTACAAACCCTATAACAAGTGGAGAAACTGATAGAGAACAGCATGGATCCTGATCAGACTGCGCGGATGTGCAGGCTGGTCTGGATCCATGCTGATCGCAAATGCATTACGTTGGTTTTGTCATGACATGGCTCATATGATTTCTGAATCAGCAATGAAAGAAGACTACCATTAGACTTAATTTAAAATATCACTTGTCATGGAAAAAATTTCTTCCCACTCAAGATTCAAACCAGTGACCTAATGCAATGAGAAAAGCAGTGGACTCATACAAGTATGAAAAAGCAACAAAAAATAAGACCTCGAACAAACAAAAAACAACATACTTATATCAAGAAAAAATGCACATATCTCAATATTTAATAGTGATGGAAATCGGATGAAATTTGTCCCAATCGATCATCGGTTCAGTCGGATGGGACATAATCGATAACTTTCGAATAAAGTCGCGTTTAAAGAAATAAGGAAGTAACATTTCTTACCAAGGCACTTGATTATATTTAGTAACATGAACTTCATTTTGCACTTTTCAACACAGTTTTAACCTAATATAGTCATAATTTTACGAAATAGATTTTATTTTTCAATGGATGTCAAATAAAAACGTTCATATCACAATATATTACTATTGTTTACATCATTTATTGATCCTGTTCAACTCCAAATTGTCTCTGAGTGCTTTTTTGCGATCGGCGTGGTGTTCCTAAAAGAAAATTACCGTCAGAATTTATTCCCTTTGATACTTTAAACATTTTCGACGACGTCGCGGAACAAATTTTTGTGAATCGATTATTGTCGTTTTACATAACAGTTACTGATTATCGGCGACTTGCGACAATCGGAACATCACTAATATTTAAACAAAGCTGGGAAACTCCAAATTTTTTCTTTTTTACTTTTATTTAATTCGGTACATAAAGTTGAAAATGTTGTTTGAGTTGCCAACTTTGAAAATATAAATACATCAAGTCCCCCCACTAGTCATTCAATTATACAGAAAAACTTTTCATGTATTTAATGAACTGAAATTGCAAGAAATAAAATAAAATCTCAGAAAAACAACCAATTATCAGAAAAACAATACATGTACTTCAACTTTGTATAAAATACAGGGACAGAATTTTTGAGAAAAAAAAGACACTACCTTTATCATTTAAACAATAGAAACTTATTTTTTAAACAGCCCATGTTTTTCAATGCTATTTTTAAGTTTTAAAATTTAAGTAAATAATAGAGGCAATATTCTTTTTTTTTAAAAAAATAGCCTGTGCTTTTCAATGCTATTTGTAAGGTATGAAATTCAACTAAATAATAGAAAAAAATATTTTCTTAAAAAAAAAACAACAAAAAAAGACAGCTCGTGTTCTTCATTGCCATTAGTAAGGATGTTAGTAAAGGTTTGACAACGGACTCACTGTTTTTTTAACACTTAACTGGAATTCTTAATTTCACTTGCCCTTTTTCGTTGTTTGGAACTGTCCATTATCAATTTTTGGGATATAAGGAACAAAATTAAAACAAAGTCAGCAAACAGTAAAGGAACCTTGTCTTGTTTTGAAATTGAAACTGTCCTTCATTGGATAAATATTTTCGGATCAGATATTTGTCAGTTTAGGAAAAATACTGTACCAGCTAGGATACAAGGGCTTGGATTGCTCTGAACTGGTGGCATGAACAATATATCATTTATGTTTAATTTTACTGAATGTCCAGGAAAAGATTTTAAACCTTTAACCTCCTGAATTTTTATAATGGACTTGACCTACTTTGAATTTGGAACAGTCCATTTGTTAGCTTAAAGGCCCATTATGCCCCAGAAATACTTTTATTTTGATTTTTTATTTCTCAAAAGCTTTTGTATTTCTTTTGCGTCTTGTTATAGTTTTCAAAAGCCAACTATCTGATCCATGTTTTACTTCTGTTGGAATTTGCAATTAGTAAAAATAAAGTGATTCAGTATTTTAAATGGAAGTCAAAATACTACTTTGTTTACATTTTGATACTTTTAAGATAAAAATAATTTTACATTCAGCAAACATGTCTTTAGGTGATAAGCACATAAAAAGCTATGAAACCTATATTGAATTGTTATAAAACTCATGTTTGTCTTTTCTAAAAAAGTGAAAATTTATTCATTTTCTGAGGCATAATGTGCCTTTAAGGGTTTTAAAATACTGACATGACTCAGTATTGGTGTTATATATCATTTATTACAGCCATGAGAACTGTGAGGCTTTTAAAAATGAATATACATGTATCTCGATGTCCTCAAACAAGAAGGGAGAAATAAGGGTCAGGGCAATATAAAATTGGGGAAATATGGGTCAAGGCAAAATAAAGGGGGAAAATAAGGGTCAGGGCAGTATAAAATGGACTTTTTTGTCTCATTTTTGTAATAAATATTTTTCAATAAATTCTATATGTATTTTCAACATTCTTCATAATTACATGTATATATTCATAGATTGAATGAATTATTCATGATATTTATATCCTGAGACATTTTTAAATATTTTCTAACAATAAATATTTCTTTCTCTTATACAATTTTTTTATTGAATATTCTAATACCTATCTTTAGTGAAACATTTGCTCATTTGCATTCTATTTAGAAAAAAATATCAACAATACAAACTATAACTTATAAATAAATTCAACATTATAACTTATAACATAAATTTTTAACAAATTTCATTAAATTTTTTAATACATCTTCCTCAATATCAGTTTGTTTTTTTTTTCAAACCTTTGCCTATTTTATCAACAACATAAAAATCTTCAATGAATTCTAGGTTTTCTCTTTAACACTTTTCCATATAAAGTAAATCTATTGCTTTAAACATATATTCCAATTCTGTGTTTTTTCTGTAACATACAATCAATCTTTCTTTAATAAATTCTTTGCTTCCTATCTGCGATCATCCACTGTCTAAGTACACTTGCTACCTGGTCTTCTTGTCTCCATCTCGCCTGAATCTAATTTAAAGTAAATAATTGTTACATAGAGAGATAATCAAGGCATTTTTTTTCTATAAATGCATGATGTATTTTCATTGAGTGGTATGAAATATAATAATTTTCATATCACAAGATGAAAATAATACGGTATTTATTGAAAAAGCTTGAATTTTCTGTTAATCATATATTTTTTCACTTAATATTTGACCTTACAATTCGTAAGACTTTCTCCCTTTAATTTTGTGTATTGGCTGAATTAAGAAGCAAGATACCAAAATACGGAAAATATGTTCACTGTACTGGCATGCCAGCAGTTCCTGTACAGAAGCAGTACTTGTATTTATTGTTTAAGTGCTTGATTTTTACTTGCAATTTTTAAAAATTAATATCAAATCAAGCAGATGCATAAACAAGACAAAATCTAAGTGTGAGATTGGCAGTACATATAAAATCATTTTCAACTGTGCGTTGTCAAAACGTGACCTTGGTAACTTTGGGGGATTTGTCCTTTCACGCATGCACAAAAATACTTACATGTGAGGCCTGTTAAAAGGTTTTCCACTTATACCACCTTTGAACAGATAAGACGGTAATGCAATGAAAACCTGTTCAATTATCAGAATTTTGACCTATATTACTATATAAAATAATCTTATGGCTTTACTGAGAAAAATATCATGCATTATACAAGCACGCCATTGCATGTAATTGTGTTGGGGTAACGGTAACTGGTAATAGATACCAGCGTTTAGTCTATGCTCTACTTCTTGAATTACCTCTATTCACCTCTGGGAAAATGGTCTAACAATTATTAATGAAAAATAGGTCTGATATAACAACATTGTACAATGTATAATTATAATGGGTTATATTTTATGTACAGGAAATACTTCTCTTCGTGCAAAATAATGGATAACTACGGTACCCCATATCAGGCCTCATAACTAAGGGTTATTCTATGTTTAGAACATAATGGAATTTCTATAAGTTGTGTAACAAGCTGAATATTGTTGTGTAACAATCAATTTTTTTGGTGAGCGAGAGTAATAAAAACTAATTTTTAAGTAACAAAGATTTTTGTACAGGAACAGCTCTCATGCCAGTAGTGAAAAATAAAATTTTTACAGTGAAAATACAGAACATACACATTTTATTTCATCAATATTTTTATAAGTATAAAATAAATCATTTTATTTATTATCATTCTTATGACGGGTTTTAAGTCATGTTAACACTGTTAAAGGGACTCCACTGAGGTTTTTTGACATGACAGGACTGGAAATAATTTTTCAAGATTAATGTTCCATTTGGTGTAGATCTAGACCAATAACTTGTGTGCAAAATTTCAGATCATTGGCTCACTCTTTTTTTTTAAGAATAATTACAGTTCGAAATAACTGACTCACACATAAAAAATTAAAGTTATTTAAAGTCCATCAGTTCAAGATAATATATTGCATGTCGACCTTTAACAAATAAAATTTGCAATGAAAAAGAAAAACAATTGATTGTATTTTCAAAATACAATGTACTTTTATTGTTAAAAAATGACCAAAAATTGCAATGCTTTTTATTCAAATTGAGCTGAGAATAACACGAAAACACGACTTAATTAATTATCTTTTGCATATCATTTCTGTTTTATGTGTACCAGCTGATCCCTGAAAAGAATTCAAATTTTATATTTTCAGGCCTTTGGATCTCAGTGGAGCTCCTTTAAGATCATATGGCCTCTTTCCAACTTTTCTGGTGGAGGAAGACCTCAGGTATCCCTACGTGCATGACTTTAGGCACTACTTAGCAGTAGAACTGCCCACCTTCTGTTAGCAAGCTTGACTTAGCTTCTTAATCTAACAGAATTTAAACCCAAAGCAGTGATTTGAAGTTGGCAATCTTAACCACTTGGAAATAGAACCCTGCTGCCAAAACAAGTACTGAATACAAACAAAAGATTAAACTGTTTAACCTTTATCTTGCTATATATTTTAAATGGATTTGTCCATTTTTCTATCTGGACAAAACTATTCATCATTTTTATGGAATATTTCAAAATATATACTGGCTGAAAAGCCAACAGTGCAGACCATGATCAGACAGCATGGATGTGCCAGCTGATATTGGTCTGCACTGATCACATGGGAATATTGAGTTACCATCAGTCATCTAAGGGTCAAGCAAGTACCTAAGGATTGCCTAAATCTGACAACATCTTCATCTAATAATGTTCATGGAATCTGAAGGTATGTTGTTTTAAGGCGGTGCTTGCTACACAATTGTCATATTTTGTAAACAGTAAATGACTGAAGGGTTGAAATATAAATATCATATATAAAACAACATACATGATCCCAAACATCTGGTGCTTTCTCTTTATGCACTGTTCTGTGAACTGGAGCTGACATCGGTCTTTTACGGACACTCTCCACTAAAAAATATATTACAACTATATAATTTAAAGTTCCATAACTCTTGCATTTTGTTGATTGATTGATTGATTGATTGATTGGGTTTAACATCGCACCAACACAGTATAGGTCAAATGGCGACTTTCAAGCTTTACTGGTGAAGGAAGACCCTCTTGTATTTTAATTTGAAAAATATACAAACCAAACTAGAACTGCCACTGTCATAGCGTGACGGTGAATACCCCTGCATACCAATTTGTCAAAATCAACTGCAGTCATTTAGAGCTCAAAGACAACCTCCCAGCCAAAGCCAGTGCATTGCTCAGTTATGTAAAGTGACCTTCACCTTTGACCTACTGACCTCAAAACTGAAACTGCCATTGAATAACTTCAATAACCCCCCACCTGCAATTCATGCAGCCTTGCCTGGAGGTGTTTTATGATGAATATATGAGACCATTTGAGCAGACAAGCTTATTGTACTAAAAGTCCCTGTTACCTTGACCTTTGACCCAGTGACCTCAAAATAAATGGGGGTCGTATTATAATCTTGACTCAGCTCCATGCCAAATATGAAGACTGTGGGTCAAAGGATTCTTAGGTAATTGGGCGGACAAGCTTTAATTTGTCAAGGCCCCTGTGACCTTGACCTTTGACCTGGTGACCTCAAAATAAATAGGGGTCATCTACTTATCATGACTAACCTCCATGCCAAATATGAAGACTGTGGGTCAAAGGATTCTTAAGTTATTGGGCGGACAATATTTTATTCAGTCAAGGCCCCTGTGACCTTGACCTTTGACCTGGTGACCTCAAAATAAATAGGGGTCATCTACTAATCATGACTAACCTCCATGCCAAATATGAAGACTGTGGGTCAAAGGAATCTTAAGTTATTGGGCGGACAAGCTTTTTGAAGTCAAAGCCCCTGTGACCTTGACCTTTGACCTCAAAAACGATAGGGGTCATCTATTAATTATGACTAACCTCCATGCCAAATATGAAGACTGTGGGTCAAAGGAATCTTAAGTTATTGGACGGACAAGAAAAAGCAGACGGACGCCTGACGGCCGGACGGACAGCCGGCCGGATGGACAAGCTGATTCCATTATACCCCCCTTACAACTTTGTTGTGTGGGGGTATAAAAACAGTATAGTTTCCTATCAGCACCAAAGATGGACTTCTTTATTTGTCAAGAGGATGGCTATATATATCCACTAAATATGTTTTAATGAAAAGTTAGGCAGCGATAACAGATATATCCAGTGCTGTATGCAGGAATTAATGAAAATGTAAGTTACATAGAATATAGTTTGTAAGATATGTTTAAAGGAATGAGACTATCAGTGTTTTGAAACTTTATTTAGTCAATGTTTGTTTGGTCCACCTCTACGGTTTTTCTGGATAACAAACCAGTAATTATTTTTCCTCTGCAGGTGACTGACTACAACTGGTAATATCAGATGAGCCGCACCATGACAAAACCAACATAATGGGTTTGCGACCAGCATGGATCCAGACCAGCCTGCGAATCCGCGCAGTCTGATCAGGATCCATGCTTTTCGCTTACAGACCGTATAACAAGTCAAGAAACTGATAGCGAACAGCAGGGATCCTGATCAGACTGCATGGATGTGCAGGCTGGTCTGGATCCATGCTGGTCGCAAACCCATTATGTTGGTTTTGTCATGGCGCGGCTCATATGATTTTTTAAATCAGTAGCGAGAGGCAAAATGATCATTACACTCTATGCCTGATATCAAATGCCATGGAGAAATTTCCTCTCACTCAAGGATCCAACCAGTGACCCTTGAATTTTAAATCTGACACTCTCCCTTAATTGAGCTCAGTGAGCAGACACAAGTCAATGTGATTCTGATTATGTGGTAGTTTTACTAAAGGATTTGTTTGTTGTTTGCAGAAATATAGATACCTTCAGGTAAGAGCTTGTTTTGTAAAATACAAATTGAGTACTTTGGGTACTGGAAATGGAACGTGTCTTAATTTGTAATTGCATTATCTATCATTAAATAATGTAAACTGTTGAATTCTAAACCTTTTAATTTTTTTTTATTTCATTAATATATAATTAGTACATTAAACTAAACAAACCTTTGGAAACTGTGTTGAGAGTTGATGTCACTTCTTGTTTCAACAGGCCCTTGGTATACTGTGCCATTGACAGTAACAGCTGTGGACCCCCATGTCTGTTGAACAACTGTCTCAATCTGTTGTCACTGCTCACCATTATTCTCACAATAATCAGCCCTGGAAAATTAAATTTGCATAAGTAAAATGTATAATCTTTGGAAATGCATAAGTAAAATCTATAAACTCAGGAAATAACATTAGTAAATTGAAATCAGCCTTGGAAATAGCATAAGTCAATTAAGATCAATCCTGGAAATGTACAATAGCATAAGTTAAATAAGACGAGCCTTGGGAATATTGAAGAGCATAAATAAAATACCATCAGTCCTGGTCTGAAGTCAGAAAACTATTATAGCACTTTACTTTGCAATCTTTAATAAAACTAAGACCTTTGTACAGATTATCACACAAAGCCTAGCAAACATGCATTTTCATACAGCATGACCAGCATCCATATCATTGGCTATTCAATCTTAACCTACTTAATGGACTAAACTTTGTTTTCTTACCAATTATTTCCAGAAGTTCATTGTCTTCATTTACACGTAGAAAATCTATCAATCTTGGCATACAACCGTATCTCGACAACACCATGTGACAACTACTCTGTAATTGTGTAGATAACAAACATAAACACTTGCGTTATCAAATGACATACTAAATATAATCTTTATAAATACAGATTTCACAAATTTTGATTGGATTTCATTAGTGTTATACAGCAAATATAATTTATTGTAGGTAATAACTGACTGTAATAAAGAAATATGAATTAAGTTTCTGAAAATGTTAATTATACAGAAAAGGGGTGTATGTATGTCACCAAAGAAAAAGAAACCATTAAACTAACAAATACCCAAATCCCTAAAGTAGTCATGCTTGGATGGTATGATTTAGTCAAGATTATTTACCTCACCAAACTGTACATAGTCATGCAGCAGTAGTACAGAATGTTTTTTTAATCTGTGAGCTTTTGTGAAGATTCCCGTTATAATCTTCTCTCCTATACCCTCTATAAGGGCCTCTCTACATTGCTGGGCTATAGGTCGACATCTATCTATCACAGGCTTCACATATTCCTTCACGCTATCTTGTGCCTCTGTCTTTATAACATCCTCCAGCTTATTCTGTTCTGTAAACTCTGTATAAGATATATGATACAATGTGACATGGTTTTCATTGACACAATATACTTGATATAACACACAGAGACATATGAATGCTATATTTACGAAAAGTTAATTGTTCTTCTGGCTAAAGGAGAAAAAAAGTAGCTACATAAGACCTTAAAGAATGATTCATCAAAGGAAATTTATTATTACCTTAATTGTCCCCATAGCTACCTAAGAATATGTATATTTGTATGTGGATGGACAGACAGACGGAACACGGTCCTATAATTCCCTACGTGCCATGGGACAGGAGATTAACAAGCAGTGTCATGTGATAAAACTGTATCTTAAGATTGTTGTTTGTTAAATAATACTCTAGATATAGAAATAAAACCATTGTTCCACTATTTTTCATGGCTTCAGTTGCTACAAGAAATTTCAGGTATGCAATTATTTCAACTGACCTTGTAATCTTTCATGTATCGTCTCCAAACCCGTTGGAACACCTGGTACTTTAACTTGCTGTGCCAACTGTGTGTCCGTTTGCTTCTTGGTTTCACTCTTCTCCAAGTTAGGACCAAGAGCCTCCTTTATCAGGTTGGCCATATCCGGTGACATCTGATGTAGAGCAACACTTAGCCTCTTGTTTGTGCTCGGAATAGCACCAGCTGTCTGAGGTCTAAGGGAAACAAATCTTGTGAAAATGAACTTGCTTCAAATCAAAGGGAAACAAATGTACAAATGTATTTTCCAGTGATGTTATGAGAGAAATATAAGCTTACAACTAAAGGAGTGAATTTAAAACAGAAGAATGCATGTCAAAGTGTATACTGTCATGTATATATGACATTACTGTCAAAAATTGCTTTTAAGTCTTAAATCTTACCTTTGTTTTCCTGTCTTGCCTGAAAACACACCTGACCCAGAGTTCAGTTTTGGTGCCACTCTCTCCTCCAATGGTTGAATCATGCATCGTAAAATTTGTAGAACCAGTATCTGAGAAAATAATAAGTCATTATTCTTACTTTGTAGATTTGTAGGTAACTAAATGGGTTAAATTAATTGGAATTTATGCATCTCTTTATTTATGCATCTCTTAGCTCTAACAGGTGAGGAGGTTTTGACCCCTGGTGTTGCTTTAAGTTTTAACAACCGGGGTTAGTCAAAATCATCTTGCCTATTTCAGCTCCATATGGCCTAAATTGCGTTGGTGCGCTGTAAAACCAAACAAACAAAACCAAACCCCAAGTTCACAAGTTTAATATCTCAAAGCATAATTGTATAATTCTGAGATGATTTGCATGTCTAAAACATGTTGCTAGGTAACTGTCCCAGTGTACATCAGTGAAATACTGTTTAAATAAGAGCAAAATCGAACAAAACAAACAAACATTCAATTTCATTTACAAAATTCAGTTGATCATAAAATGACTTACTTCTAATAGGGAAACACATTTTTAGACAAGATTGTCAAACAGACTCATAGCATAAAAAGTAAAGATTAAGCAACATAAAATCTAAAATAAGTGCGAAAAAATTATACATATACAATGTATACATGTATATAAAAGTTTTTTTCTATTCATACGGTATTATAAAAGTTAGCAAGTACCTGTATACTCTGGTCTGAACACTTGATAAACGGACAAACACATCTGAATACATCTGCTTCATAAAGACACTTGCGTAGTAGCCGTCTGTCCGTACATGCTTCTTTGTGTCGTAATTCCGCTTTACTTTTCTCCATGGCAACTTCATGACTTTTATTTGACTGAGATGTGGACAGATGTGGATTTTCTCTCTCCCATACCTTATAGTACCCGTCCCCTGCAAAACCTTTACCGGTGTCGGACTGGGATTTTAACCTCGACTCCACACTCTGACCAGGCCTGTTGTCATTGCATATTTGAGAAGTGGAGAATGACTGCAGTTTATTTGGTTGTTTAGATTTCTTTTTTGGAGATTTAACTTCAAGTTTTGGCATAATGTCAGGAAATTCTACACATGTACACAGAGCTGAGCAAAGAGTAAGTTCTAGAAGGCTAGTTATTAGAGTAACTTCCCCTGATTCAAACAATGTATCAAGACTATCAGTTTGTCTCCCTTTCTTTGATGACTCTTCACACAGTTTGGTGAATTTCTTAGCATAGGACAGCAGCAGGTCAGTGACAATGACTCCAACCTTGTCCCATATTGCTTGTGTGAGACCACGATTTACCTTTGACAGACGTAACCTGAAATAATTTTTAATAAAATAAACAAAAAGTATATAAAACTAGAAATGTGTCCATAAGACACGGGTGCCCCCACATGCCACTGTTCTGTCAATCTTATGACTCTAGGTCAAATTTTTTTTGGACTACATGTGCCACAAGTTGAAAACTAGAAATCTTTTACTAAGTAAAAAGCAAGAACTTTACAAATACTGAATAAATCCACAAGCAAACCCCAAGGTGCATAAGTTTCACATGCTGACCAACATTCTTGTAAACTTTCAGGCCTACAAGTCAAATACTTTTTGAGCTATGCATGAACAAGTTGAAAATTGCAAATTTATACTACTGTAAGTCAAGGGCAATAACAAAACTGAAAAAAATCCACATGCGAAGTCCCAGGTGCATAACTTCACAGTGATGTTGATCATTATTCTTGTAATTTAGTGATGTTGATCATTATTCCTGTAAAGTTGGTTGATTCTAACTTAAGCACTCAAGGAACAAATAACAACATAATGAAATGGTTTTTACTAAGTCAAGGGAAATAACTCTACAAATACTGGATATATCTACAAGTGAAACCCCAGGTGCACAACTATATATGCTGAGCAACCTTCCAATAAGGTTTAATGACTCTGTGTCAAATCCTTTTTGAGTTACATGTGACACAAGTTAAAAATTGCAAAAATTTTCTAAGTCAAGGGCAATAACTAAAAATACTATATAAATCCACACAAAAATACCCAATTGCACAACTACACATGCTGATCAACATTCCTATAAAGTTTCATGACTCTCGGTCAAATCCTTTTCGAGTTGCATGCGACACAAGTTGAAAATTTTCACAAAGTCAAGGGCAATAACTCTAAAAATACTATATAGATCCACACAAAAATACCCAGGTGCACAACTACACATGCTGATCAACATTCCTGTATAGTTTCATGACACTAGGTCAAATACATTTTGAGTAACGTGCAATACAAAAGAGAACGGACAGACGGACGGAAGGACAAAGGTAAATCTAAATGCCCGTCACTAAAGTGGGGGCACAATAAAATAAAAAGGTTACAAAAAGTTTAACCCTACATAAAAATTATATTCAATTGATAAGAACTATATGATAACAAGAGCACTGCATGCGGTGTTAACGCTCGTCTGTTAAAATAACCATTTTTGACAAGGATTCTAAATAAACAAGGGGCATAACTCAAAATACTGCTTTCAGAATTATTACCCTTGTCTAACAACTGCCTCTTTTCATGAAAAGCAAGTATTCCAAGTTGACACTTTTTAAACTACTTGAGTAACAGCCTACATTAAAGTATTTACATGATAACAATGATGACAACAACAATGCCGCAGTGATCATAACAGCTCTACTTTTTCTTCAAAACAGACAAGCTAAAAAATAAGAGATTAGGTTTCTCCTGCAAGTCTGAATTCAGAACACTTACAAGTTTTGTGAAGTATATTTGACTTTAAAAACAATTAAATATCCTAATATATTAACACTAAAAGATGAAAGTGGAAGAGAAATACTTTTGTTTTTCATCATCAGTGAATGTTGTCAGATCTACTCTGTTAGCACTGAATCCTAGCCGTGACTTATCTAGTGGCCATAAACACATATACTGTAACACGTGAAATGCCTGGGCAAGAATGTCTAGTTGTATAGGGCATGTGTCTATACATGGCTTCATAAGAACCCTAGTTACAAGCCCTAGATCATCTACCTCAACTTTAGCTGGAAAAAAAAATCATAATTATAATATATTTAAGATGGCAACTTTTTCATTTAGAACTTTCAGAGGGTAAAAATCATTTCAATATTTTAAACAGGGAAAGTAAAATATAAAAGTATGGTAAATCTGTTATATACAGTTTCTTTAATAAATTCACAATAAATAAATATCTAGGAAATTACTTTTTTCATTGTTTGTATTCAATGTAATTTAACAATTACAAGGGGTGTCCGTTGCCAAATGGTCAAGGTCTTTGATTTCAAAACACTTGCCCCTTACAGCTGTGGTTCAAATCTTTTCAGGCAAAGGAACTTACAACTGTGGCTTTGAATACCAAGAGGGATTCTTTCATGTAAGGAAGCTCTCCAGCTTGCTTACTAAAAATCAGTTATTCCACTAAGATGACCACTTGTGCCATAAATATTGCAAAGCGGGGCACCTCCAGTAATACTCCACCAGTAAAGCTGGAAAGTCGCCATATGACCCTTACCATTTTTGTACTTAAAATCTAACCAAAAACATCATGATATCCTATGTAAAGTTGTTGGGCGACAACACCTAAAAATGACACACCATGTAATGATTCTCCTGGTTTTTTTTATATTCTTTTAATTTTCTTTCTATTATCATTTGATTAAAAAAAGGACTTTTTTGTTTCATATAGATTTAAATTATATGTGTCTCACAAATGTTAGAATGCTCACCACAAGCATGCATCATAACCTTAATTCTATTTCATGTCAGTTTTTAATGTCATAATAAATGACAAAGTTCAAAAGGGTCAACATAGGTATTATACCAATCTATTTAACATTTTATGAACAATGTGAGGTAAAGGGTGAAAAATAATTACCTTCCCTATGTATTACACTTTTTGTCATATCTATGAACTTTTCAAGTCCAAGCCACATCTGACGTTCCTCGTCAAACCTCGGTTTCGCTTGCATTATTGTCATAGAACTTGACGCCATCTGTGACAGACTGGTTAAAGATTCCTGTTCCAGACTGGGTACCAGATAATTACTCAACTGTAACATCAAATCTTTACACAGTCCAAGTTTACGACTGGTACACAAGTTTCTTATAACCTCTGTTGCATGTTGGCGGACTTTCCTATTGTAAGATAACCAATTTAATATTTGGTTGATTATCATTAGAAATCACACAATACTTTGATTTTAAGTACAACTTCTTCATGAAACTTTGATCTATTGGCAATATGAATGATAATTGCAACTGATAATAAGGATGTTATATAGAACATTTTTTTAAGACAACCTGTAATTTTTTTGAATATTATCACAAAAATAAAAGCTTTAAATCGCTTATTGTTTCAAATGTATAAAAGTCAATGTCAATGATATATTTGCCAGACGCTGGTTCCCGTACCTGCAATGAGACTCTTTCATACAGCATAGTAACATAGGTACCAGACTATTGGTTCCTATCACAGTGGATAAACCAGTATCACTTGTTGTCAGGGACGATAATAAATGTAGGGCGGCACGCTGGGGACCACTGAAAACAAAGCCAAACATTCTGATATAACAAACACAGTTCTGATAATGTTTTGCTTCTTTTATATGTGTAAGTGCAAGTATTGTATAGCATTCAAATTTCCATTGCCAGGCTTGTCATTACTAGATTGAATAAAACATATTCTGACAAAAAATATTGAATGGAACTATGCAGGCAATTACTTAAAAAGTCAAATAAACAAAAGATTGGAGAATTTATTTCCAAATTATTCCGATATTTGTATATTGTTTCAATTTCCATGTTCTATTTTTATATCACAGTCAACAGCATAGTAAATTGAATAAAATGAACAAATTAATAAAGAAAATTACTGTATCCATCTCTTTCCATATATACATATAGATGGATTGGTCTGCATTTGAAATAAGGTCTGGTTCATTTATAGCAGACTATGATAAATAAGAAACATAATAAATATCAAGTGAAACCGCGAAGATACCTGTACATTTGCTATAAATTCTTGAATAATATTAAGTCAAGACATATTTGTTATTAGCTGGATTATATTGCGAGCTAAAAGCATATTCAAAACACTCTGGGACTAACCAGTACAGCCGTCTTATTAGGGAACATGGTCATGATGCCTTGGATAGAGAGGCTCCAATGAGTCAACTTAACCACTGCGCAATATTTACAATCCCTACAGACATGGTCAAACCAGACATTTGTAAGAGTCATAACACAGTAAGCAATAATTCAAAACTAATATTCTTCATAATTGTAGATAAAAAAAAATTACCCCTTTATTTTCACAACTAGAACTCCGCGAGTCGGATGTGTCGCCTTGTGAACAATGTAGTTTAGGAGAAATGGCCAGGACAAAAATGAAATATGAAAAATAACAAAGGGCAATAACTAAAAAAATAATAAGTGCAGAGCAGCATATCTGTGCACTGCACTTCTTATCAATAAGATCTATCATTCTATGATGTTTCAAGTCCATAGCTTTCATACTTGAGGAGAAATGACCAGGACATAAGAAATGCAGAGTATCAGTTCTTATGCACTGCACTTTTTCTTAATGAGATCTATCATCCTATGAAGTTTCAAGTCCATAACTTTTATACTTTCGGAGAAATGGCCTGGACAAAAATTAAGTATGAAAATTAACAAAGGGCCATAACTCAAAAATTAAGAAATGCAGAGTACCTATTCTTGTGCACTGCACTTCTTCTTAATGAGATCTATCATCCTATGAAGTTTCAAGTCCATAGCTTTTATACTAAAGGAGAAATGGCCCGGACAAAATTAAAGTATGAAAATAAACAAAGGGCAATAACTCAAAAAATAAGAAATGCAGAGTACCTTTTCTTGTGCACTGCACTTCTTCTTAATGAGACCTATCATCCTATGAAGTTTCAAGTCCATGGCTTTTATACATTAGGAGAAATGGCCCGGACAAAAATAAAGTATGAAAATTAACAAAGGGCAATAACTCAAAAATTAGGAAGTGCAGAGTACCGGTTCTTGTGCACTGCACTTCTTCTTAATGAGATCTATCATCCTATGAAGTTTCAAGTCCATAGCTTTTTTAGTTGAAGAGAAATGGCCCGAACAAAATTAAAGTATGAAAATTAACAAAGGGCAATAACTCAAGAAATAAGAACTGCAGAGTACCGGTCCTTGTGCACTGCACTTCGGGTTATTGAAAGAAGCATGCATACCAAGTTTGAAGTCAATCAGACTTATAGTGACTGAGTTATGCTCCGGACAAGCTTTAGGGGACGCGGACAACGCCGACACAGCAGCCGCCGTCGCCGACAAAAGTAACCACTATATGTTACCTTTTCAAGGCGACACAAAAATCAGCTTGGATTCACATTTCTTCACTAAATAATGTTTAGAACTTCTTACCATGGTCCCTCCCTGATGATACTGACTGTCATTGGTATAGCACTACTGTCTACAAGATCTGGGGGGAAACAGTCTGTATGTGACAGCACACCAGTTAGTATCTCAAAATACACCTCCTGTAATATATTGTATGTATAAATCATGTGTACTTGTAATTTACTAGTTTTTTCCCCACTCTTTATTATACAGTAGTATGCATCAGTCAACCACTTAAGGGGCAGTGCAGGGGAAATGAGTACAGTTTTATCAGTTACAATTGACAGGTGCATTATATAATAAACATTATAAGCAGATCACAAAGGTTCACAGAAATAATATAGGAGTCCGGCAGTGAGCAAATAACAGCAATTTTTTGTCTAAAATAAAGACAACCATCTTATAAGTGATCACTCTTATACGCATAAAAAAAAACATTACTAACCTTGAACTTAGCACTTGCATTCCTCATCAGTAAAACGCTCAGCAGAATTTGATCGGTGACATAAACTATAAAATCTTCATATAAAGCAAATGATCGGAACACACAACATGCAGCGTACTTCACGTCCAGTGGTATCTCTCCACGCACCATCGATATCAACTTTGGTATAAACCTCGTTACCGATAATTCATACCATTTATTCTTGAATTCGGGATCAGAAAATACCTGTAAAAATAATGTTAGGTCATTTAATACAATTTCAAAACTTCAATAGATAAGGAGATTTAGTATGAATATCTACAAGATGAATAAAAATATTTTGATCTTGAACAAGTTATTATCTGCTAAAAATAGATATGACATATTGAATCACGCATTTAAGACTTTTTAAAATTACCCACATACAATTTACTTGTGGTTTGTTGTTACTTATAATACTAAATACTATAAACATAATAATTTATGATATTACAGACATTCCATAATTGACCAATTCAATTTAAATGGTCATTTTAGTCAGGTTTTGTGGCTAGCATATGGGCTGCGCCATGACAAAACCAACATAATGGGTTTGCGACCAGCATGGATCCAGACCAGCCTGCGCATCCGCGCAGTCTGATCAGGATCCATGCTGTTCGCTATCAGTTTGTTTACTTGTTATAGGGTCTGTAAGCAAAACAGCAGGGACCCTGTCAGATGGCGGATGCGCAGGCGGGTCTGGATCCTTTGCTGGTTGACATTATTTTGGGGTTTTGTCATGAGCGGGCTCATAAAAATTTATTGTTCTAAAACAGTAAAGCAGATTTTCTAAATGCTTTTGTTTATTCCTTTAGGGTATCATTAGGAAATTGGGATGCTGTTCTCCAGTAACTTCCAAAGTGCTCTGAGTTCTTCACACAATTTTTCAAAATTGAGACAGGCGTCTTTCACTCAGAAACTGGTTTCCATGTACTGTATACTATTAAATAAAAAACAGCACAATCAGTTTTCCCTTTTCTTTTAAGGAACCCAATTTTTTGGGGAAAAAAAAATTATGTTAAAAAGTGCTATAACTCAAAAAATACAGCTTTCAGAAATTCGCCCCTTATCTAACTGCACCTTGTCGTGATAAGCAAGTATTCAAAGTTTCATGTTGATAACTTTTAAAAAGATCAAATAATGGGCAACATAAAAGTTTTTGCATGATGTAGACGACAATGATGGCAACAAAATTATTTTGATAACTTTTAAAAAGATCAAATAATGGGCAACATAAAAGTTTTTACATGATGTAGACGACAACGATGGCAACAAAACAGCAATCATAATAAATAGCTCAACTTTTTCTTCAGAAAAGACAAGCTAAAAATGATAAGTAGGGTATTCTAAGCAAATGGTAAGGAAGAATACAGACTTTTACCTAGTCATTGGATATCTAACCACAGCTGATATGCTGCAATTACTAACCTGGCAGGAAATTGTGCTAGCAAAAACCAGAATTGAAGCCAAGAAATTTATGATAAAAAAAACAAACATTTAAACATATATCAAATCACCAACACAAACCAAATTTAGCAAATCGCTGAAGATGATTTAATTTGTCATTTTATATGCAAATAGTGCATAATCCATTTATCCTTAAGGTCTGGAAAAATCAGATTCTGACTTACTTGTCCGTTTTTATCTGAAGCATTTCTTAACAGTCCGTAAATTCTTGTCGGCACAGGCTGTGGGTCAACCTGGGCAATACAGACAATTGATTTTGCTACCCCTGTAACTTAGGAATAAAGGTCTATCCATATAAAAAAAATTATTTGAAGTAACATAGAATTTAACTGAAATGACTTTGACTTTGTTCACATTATAAAAATCATAACTTTGGTTGGAGTAACATAGTCAAACTAGTAATTTCTATGACTATGATCGATTATAAGCATGTGTTATGTGTCACTGTTAACATACCTTATGTAGCTGCTGGTCTGACAGGGTATCTAGTGAGGTGTAACTGTTCACAAGTGTCATCATTGCCTTTTGTCGGCTGCTAGAATGACCCTTCTCTTCAAACTGCTGAAATGTCTTCAATAAAACATCCATGGTCACACCAGCATCTACAATACATAAATATACTTCTGTGTGTTACAGGATAACCTCGGCAGAGCATCACTTTCATGTATTCAGAGATATTGAGATTTTGGTTAAACTGCCCATGATTTGTTTTCGTACTTACTTCAGCCTGTCACATTTTTAGTGGTTATGTCACATATTGAAAGGTTACGTCACATGTCTTAATATAGAATGTCAACATTGATTTTATTGCATAATAACACGCACTTTCGGTCCTTATATGTTCAATTGGGAAAAATGCGGGTTGTATTAGAATTAGAGATAATGATCTACAATAATAGTTAAGTATTTTTTAAGCCTTTAAATGACACGGTTGTTATAAAGAGGTAATTGATCTATAGAGTTTGTACTGTATATACCATCCCCAGCATAAAATATATAAACATTCCTTTAAAGATTCAAATAAACAATGCTGTGTCATCTGTAGGATTTGAAAGCTTTCTATATACCAAATTAAATTATAAAACATGTATCTCATTCCTATTTTTGGGGAGGCTATGCCTCCCCAATGTTAATACTATCCATCAAATCTTACTGCCGCGGTAATCAGGTCAAAAAATAGTACCTTGATTTTTTCTAAGCTGACTGATCACTCATCACAGACATTTACAATATTCAAATATTTTCATTCTTTTATTTCATATCTGCAATTTGTAAAGATAATAATTCTCTGAAAAATTCTTGATTTTTGTTTGTTATTTTTTCAAAATCACTACTCCGTGACATCATACTGCCGCGGTAATCAGGTTTAGGCATACGTACGTTGGTAATAATTAAATAGTTCTGGTATGAAAACCCTTCTATATAATAACTTTATCAATATTTTTTAAACAAAAAGCATAAATGAAAATTTATAGGTAAATGCTTTAATTAGGTGGCAAATATTCTTTATTATTTTTGATACCAATTTTCCAATTACTACGCAGCGACCAACTGTTTATGACGGGTAATTAACTAGAACGTGGCAACACCGTAGTCTCAATATCATGCATGCTCTTTTGTTGTTATAAACCATTAATAGTCCTTAATATTTTTTAAAGACAAATAATGGTAAACTGTCGCTTACATCAGAGACATGGATCATGCTTGCGTGATAACTAAGGAAAACTAACTTGTTAGTACACCTTAGGAGGCTGTACGCAGAAAACGCTCATAAACCGCTATATCATATAGCTGTTAGTAAATATTTTGCATACATTTAACTAAAAATTCACTAATGGTGATGAACATATAGTTTGAAAACATTATATTCTTAAACCATGTATCACCGAAAAAAACTATTTAACTACAAAACCGTAAGGACCCTCCGACAAAATTTCACCACAAGATTACATTTAATATTAGCAAAATAAAAAAAAGCAATACTGATATTTTCATCTTACATAATTCATTAATCAAATTTTTAACATAAAAGTATCTTTTAAAAATATGTCTGGCAATTGACAGATCCCTACTCTGATCTTTTATTTGTAAAGGAATAAATTTAAACATGACTGTGCTCTTTTATTTAGGAATATTTTGTAATGAAAGTCTTAATATATCCACTAATCTCATAATTAGAATTAGACAGGTCAGGGATTTATACAACCAGTAGTTTAGTTATCTACGCTCATTTTAATCCCAATACGCTCATTTTAATCCCAAAAGAAACATTCAAATATTTGGGGTAAAAAACATGACCAAAGTACCTAGTAGTTGTTTACCCGGTGGTGATCCCATTAAACTGATTATAGATTCGAATAGAAAACACAAATAGAAACATTTGTTTCGGTACAACAAAAATCGGAAGTAAAGTGAACAGTTAAATGACAAAAATATGTGGTCAAATATGTTTTAACAAGGAAATAATTATTTCAGAGAAAGACGCAAAGATCAGTCTTCAATCAAATGAATGACCCCGTATTGTGTAATTAGAAAGTTTATTTAATTCTAGGGCAACGAATCATAATTTGATAGTCCATGTGTAATAAAATTTTCAATACAGATTATGAGATACATAAAAATATTAAAGAATAAGAAGCTTTAAAAAACGAAACAAAAAAACGCATATATATACGAATGACTTACAGTCGAGGATCGGAAATTCATCAACATATCTTACGAAATTTTAATTTGAAAAAGATATTTGTGCGCGCTGAAGTGATTAATGTTTATTTGAATAAATCAAATAAAAAGAACTTATATGTTTGTGTTCTAAAAATGATTGGCGGCATAAGACGAATTTCATTTTCATTTTACAACACTTGAAAAATTACTACAGAAAATATGTTGTTGTTTTTTTGTTTTGTTTTCAACAAGAGTGTGTCTTTTAAGTTAATTTATTCTCGGCACCGGAATAACCATATGTCCGAGATTATAGCATCGGGGACGTCTTTTTCAAGCAGAATCTTCCTGGTAGCCCATTCTTCGTTCGTTAGTGGTAAAGGAGACGACAGTACTGTCAAGGCATCAACTTCCTGACTGACGACAACAAAAACGGCATTATTAGCGCCAAACCTCCAGAGTAAGTTACGACAGGTCAACCAATCACCTCTGGTACTTGAGATGACTTGACCTAGACCTGCTGTGTGCCTTCTCCGCGACGTGCATACCTCTGGAGGGATTTGGAGAAGTTTCAACAAAAACCTCCAAAACACGCTATTTATAACACCATTCATAGCACTGACCCTTCGATGTTCTCATCTATTTGCGGGAAATGGTCGAAAAGGAAAACCCTACGTAATAACCGCACACCCTGTTAACAGCAGATTTTACGCAGTATATATTTCAAGCTAGTGAGGTTTAAAATCTATCGATTAACTACCATAAGTTGGTTGAGTGTTGGCGGTAAAAAAAGAAGATATAACTTCCTGATCAACTTTCACTTAGATTGATTCAATTTTGAATAAGCTTTGCAGATATGTATTTTTTCAAGAAATGTTTAGCTTTAATATTATCCGAAGCCGTCAAAGTCAGCGACGAGTAATGAAATGGGAATAATTTTCTGAAATGTGATTTTATTCGAGATTTGCTTCGGGAGAAGACAACTTTCTGTCCGTAGAGCATGAATATTAATACTCATCACAAGACAGTGTCTTATTGATCTCAGTTATGGTACATGTAAATATGTATAATTTTTATGTTCAATTAAAATGTTGCTTAACTTGCAGTTGTTATTATCATTCAATGATATTAAAATGACATAAAGTATTTATGATGAACAGTCCTAAAATATTTTGATAAGGAACCGTCAGTTGTAAAATGGTATTATGATCTTTTAATGAACAGTCGTCATACCTGCTGGTATGTCATTTATAAATGGTTTTTAGGTTTTTCAAAATTTGCATGATTAACAATCCGAATGTAGACCTCAATGAAATGTTCTGGAATATTAACAAAATGAATAGTCAACCATATTAACCATATATATGAATGGCTGACCGATAAATGTGCATATCTTCTTATTTAACAGCACATTTTAAGAAAAAAGAAAAGAAACTATAAGTCTGAAACATTCTGTCATAGCCTCCCCATCAGTACATTCAGTGCTTTGATTAGTAACTGTGACCTATACCTTGTAAATATCCCATGCTTTAAGGTGACTACAGAGGGTACGCATCATAAAATAAGTTAAAACAGTCTTTTTTCTTAGATACAAAAACAAATACATATACATGTAATACACAAGAGCAATCACCGATTAAAAGTGTTGTCTGATGATAGCCCAATTGCATGTTGCAGCTCCTGTGTAGCAGGAGACACAAAAATCATAAAAACAGGCCAGAACTTATAATTTATACAAGGGCCATAACTTGCACTATACGCAAGTACTTGAGGTGATCAATCCTGTAAAATTTCTTTTAATAGTAGATCTAGTTAAAGAGAATTAGTCATCAAAAAACTTTAAAAAAGTAAAAATCATAATAGGGCCATCACTCTAACAAAAATCATTGAATGAATGGGAAAATGCCGATGATAAGCACAAGTAGACTTGGTACTGATCATTCCTGTAAAGTTTTGCTGAAATTGCACCAGTAGTGTCTGAGGAGTAGTCAATTTTGTGATGAACTGATAAACAGACTACTTTGTAGCATGTATCAGCATCTGTGTAGCTGGAAATACAAAAATCATTAACAAGCCAAAATACCTTTTTTATTCTGGGGAAATAACTCAGCAAAATATCATTCAAGCAAAAAACCCGTGTAATATACACAAGTACTTGAGCTACCAATCAACCCTGTAAAGTCTCATTGGAATTGCATTAGTGGTAAAAGAGAAGTAGTCGGGACAAACTTTAAAAACAAAAATCAAAGGGCCATAACTCTACTTAGTAGCAGGCGATACAATAATAGTAAATATTATATCACACACCTTCATCATCAGACTCTGAATGATCAGAGTCACCGTGATTGACCCTAACTTGCCGACTTGATGACCTGAACTCTTCTGTAGTGCACTCGCAGTCAGTATATGCCACTGGTAAATTCGCAACAAAGTTCTGAGAATAATCATCCAGTCGTGACAGAACATCAGTTATAGGTTCATGATCTGGATCCCTGTGCAAAGATTTAAAACTCAAAATATGAAAATGAGTTAGAGAGTTAAGATATTACACAAGTGCCCCTTCACACATTTATTTCAAATACAGGCAGACATCTAATGATCTGAGAAGACCAATCTGGATAGCTCCTTCAAACAAGAGTCTGAGTCCCTGGTCTGAATTAAACTCAGAGTGGTTGTGTTACAAATGTTTAATGATAGCAACCTTAACCACTCATATAATATAAATGTCATACAATATGATACAAATATATATATTAAGAATTATTTAATTATAATATACATATAATTGCTATTTATCACATAAACCATGGTGCAGGAGTGTAATAAAGCCATTCAATACAAACAATTTTACACTAGTGTAATAACACTTTGATGTGACGTCATTTGCATTACATATAAACATAGCATTAAAGCGCTAATGATAATGCTACACTATAGGCACTTCAATGAAAAATGACTCTTTTTAACAGTTTACCTTTCTTATTTATATCATGTCATAAATAGAATATTATATTTGTGTAGATTCAATACTAAATTTATTGAACTCATTGAATAAAACAATATTATTGCAAGAGGCTCGTTCTATAAATTTAGTATTAAACCTACACTCATTCAATATCCTATACAAATTCTTTTAAATAGGACAACTAAACAATGAAACTGTGTAAAAAAAAAGTCATTTACATTTCATATTCTAGTAATGTTCCTGCCCTTGAAACAGGACGATATGCACTGCCTGGTCGACTCAGTGCACTAGAAGGTCTACTTATGAGACCTTTGGCAAAACTGTCCGGCCGAGACAGATCTGGAGAAGGTTTATTTAAAGAACTTGCTGCCCTCGACTCTTTACCTCTACTCTGTAAACCACTAGGAGGTCTGCTATTTGGATTAAAAAGACCCCTCTTCTCATGTTCATGCCCAGGTATACCTAGAAAAGAGACAAACATAAGTTTAAATATATCAAAGAATTTTAAATGTATATAATCCAAAGAGTAATATTAATTTTTCTTTCTTTAGAATCCAGGAACGATGATTAGGAAACTACCCGCCTATATGACAGAAATACTGTTGGGAAAACAAACAAACAAACAAACTTTCTTTAGAAAAAACAAACAGGAGTTTTATAACATCTAAATAATGGTTTCAGAGAATGTTACATGCTTATCATCTGAGTTATAGAAGCAGTATTTTGACTTCTATACCAAATACTGAATCACTTGCCTGTACTTAATTGCCACAAAGCAAAAGCATCAAGAGATAGTTTGGGTTATTAGCTAATAAGTAAATTTTTGGAAACTACAATAGAATACCAAAAAATACAAAGCTTTTAAGAAATAAAAATAAAAGTATTTCTGGGGCAAAATTGACCTTTAAACAACTTGTACAATTATCATTGATTGTATGATTTTTTAGCTTGAACTTATATTGGTTACTTGTACGATTAGTATAATTTTAGTAAGTATTTCTTGGTCATAAAGGGGTTTAAACAGGCAGTACAATTAGTATAATTTAAGTTAAAGAAACTATTTCAGTATCAATATGATAAAATAGTCTGTACATTCAATTTAAATGTACATTCAATTTGCAATTTTAAAAGCTATTGCATGTATCAAAGTCCTAAGCAAATTCAGTGCCTTCGGTGCTTTGATTTCAATTCAATGATTTCAAGTCAAGACTTCCTACTATATAATACCTGTGGAATAATTAGTCATCTGAGACTCATTTCCAATCCTGTCAATGTTATTCATCATTTGAAAGTTTTTGTCAATCTCCTTCTTTTGATAAAGTGGCCTTCCTTCCATATGGCTGTCATGATAATATAACGGTCCTCTATAATCTTGGACATCTGGTGGTCGAGGTGGCAGGTTAAAGGCATTTCCACCAATGAGGAAAAGGTCACCGTGACCTATATCTTGAACGACCCTTTCCCTGTTGGTATTTTTCTTTTTAGCAGACATTTTATTTGTAAGCATCTAGGAACCTAGAACAGAAGAAAAATATAATCATAAATCAAGATAACTGACATTTCAACTGACATAACAACATTTCAATTTCATTAATAACAATTTAACTTAATATTTCTAAATATCCAGTCCTATATAAAAAATAAAATATTAAACTAGAAATGTGTCCATAGGACACGGGTGCCCCCACCGCGCCACTGATCTGTCAATCTTATGACTCTAGGTCAAATATTTTTTGAAAACTAAAAATCTTTTACTAAGTAAAGGGCAAGAACTTTACAAATACTGAATAAATCCACAAGCAAACCCCAAGGTGCATAAGTACACATGCTGACCAACATTCTCGTAAACTTTCAGGCCTACAAGTGAAATACTTTTTGAGCTATACATGAACAAGTTGAAAATTTAAAATTTGTACTACTGTAAGTCAAGGCCAATAACTCTAACAAAACTGAAAAAAATCCACAAGCAAAGTCCCAGGTACATAGCTTCACAGTGATGTGAATCATTATTCCTGTAAAGTTGGTTGATTCTAACTCAAGCACTCAAGGAACAAATAACATCATAATGAAACGGTTTTTACTAAGTCAAGGGAAATAACTCTACAAATACTAGATAAATCCACAAGCGAAACCCTAGCTGCAAAACTAAATATGCTGAGCAACCTTCCCGTAAGGTTTAATGACTCTATGTCAAACCCTTTTTGAGTTACATGCGACACAAGTTGAAAATTGCAAAATTTTACTAAGTCAAGGGCAATATCTCAAGGGCAATAACTCTAAAAATACTAAATATATCCACACGAAAATACCCAGGTGCACAACTACACATGCTGATCAACATTCCTGTAAAGTTTCATGACTCTAGGTCAAATACTTTTTGAGTTACGTGCGACACAAAAGAGAACGGACGGACAAGAGTAAATCTAAATGCCCGGCACAAAAAAGATTTTTTATATAAATCATAAAGTCTTTCAAAATATTCATGAAATTACACTAAGTAACAATATATCTATTGTATATCAATTCCTTATCATCCTATGCATTGTTTTCATCTGACAGCAGCAGCTAAGCCTGTCAGAAATGGAATTTGAAGGTTACATACGATGGAGAAATGTACCATTTTTGGAGGTAAAATACCACATATATAGAAATAGTAAAAAAAGGGATAAAAACTGTTAAAGGAACACCACTGAGGTTTAAAAGTCTAAAAACATAACATTTGAATTTTTTACATAAATTAGCTGGGGCACTTTAAACAGAAATTCAGGCAAAGATAATTAAGAAATATACTTTGAAATAAATTGAAAATCGTATTTTTATCTTATCTTAGCCCGATTTGAGTGAAAAGCGTTTAAACGCTTTTCATTTTGGGTAATTTTTCTACAATTTGAATAATTATTTTGGGAAAACGAAGTGTGCGAATGATCTGAAATTTTGCACAAAGATTAGTGGTCTAAACTACATCAAATGGTGCATTTATCTGGAAAAAATATTTTCAGTCCCATCATGTCAAAAAACCTCAGTAAAGTCCCTTTAAGAATATCAGGTAATAGTGTTAATTGTTCAAATTTGTTCATTAATAATTGATAGATCTATTGTATTTTTATAATGAGATTATAATTGTACAAAGAAAAATAAACATCAAACCACAATTACAAAAAACATTTATAAGTTTTATTTACACGCACTAAACAGAAATAAACAGGAGTACAATCATGGACTTTAATTGGCAATTGCATGAATTGTCAATAGAAGTCTGTGGTACTATGACAATAATGAATAATGACAATAATAATATTTGTAATTTGTTATTTGTTTGATTACTCATTTCTGACTTTGTGATAATCATACATAGATGTAATTACAGGTAAAATTGTTGCCATTTAATATTGCTTTGATATGATTTTGCTTCTTAAGTAATTTTAAAGTACTAATTTGTTCATTTACTTTTTTATTATAATTATTAAGCCTTATATTACTCTGTACCATGTATTTCAAGAAAATATATACCAATGGTGCATGTACATATATATATATATGTGGTACGTAACCACCATGGTACTTCACCTCCTGTAATCTCAGCATTTACGCACACAAGTTGATGACATCATGAAAATTTCTAGTGAAAAGAATGAAAAGTTTGAGTCACAGGTAGCAGTATCAGTTTTTTGCCACTCCACACTTAGGCTTCAGGGCCAAAAATCATTCTTTGTAGAGGCCGAATATAGGCTGCTTCCCCAACCAAACTAGCCTCTCTTTTTTTCCCCAGGTTGGTCCTCAAAATTCCCCAGTCTTTTGAAATTTCCCATAGAATTTAGAACAAAATTAAATGATGCATGATGTTGAATTTAAAGGTCTTGTTAGTATTTCCCAGTGCTTTTTGCTTTTCTATTTTAAATAACTTGTTAAAAGTGTTTTAAATTTGAGACCCCTTTTCCCAAAGTATGCCAAAATCACGCATATTTTCCCCAAGAAAAAGGCTGAGGCCCCTTCCCCAAAAATGGTGTTTTGGCCCTGGGCTTATGATAAGATACCAAATTAAAAAACCACTGATTAAAAAAATATATATATATCCACTATCAAAACTATTGTTATAGAAAGGTGAAAAGTCTACTACAATATGCTCATTTGCCGAACAATTGGAACACAGGATATCTTGATTCGGCAACTCAGGCACAATCCGACAGAATATCGCTGCATCATTCATTAATAATAATATCAATAAAAAGAACTAGAATTCCACAGTTTTCCTAATTTCAAGTCCAACGAATATCAATATTCTATCAATTTGTTTCTGTATCACAAGATTTTTTACTTGGAGTTTGGTAAACTGTGGAATTCTAGTTCTTTTTATTGATGCCAATGAATGAATTGCAGCCATATGCCGCCGGAATGTGCCTGAGTCGCCGAAATGACGATATCCTGTGTTCCACATTATTTGGCAACTGAGCATATAGAAGACTTTTCACCTTTCTATAACAATAGTTTTGATAGTGGATTTTTTTATCAGTGTTTTTTATTTGGTACATGTATCTTATCAGCTTATAGTAAGCCTTAGGGTGGAGTGGCCAACACTGATACTGCCACCTGTGGTTTTGAGTATTTAAGATTTATGTAGATCTACTTATACAATGTAAAATGATAGTTTTAGCCATGTGTTTTAAAATAAGCCAAAGAACATGTAGTTTATTAACAACACATTCAATTGTTAGCGAAGCTTGAGAGGGACGAATCGCTTTCAACTGGATTTTGAATTTTTCTACTATCATTCTCAACATTACCAATAACATCCGATCAGGTAAGACAAAAAAAACGCTTGTTTAGTTTATATGTCCTATAATTTTTTTCAAATGACATACTTTACCCGTTCATTCGCTTAGTTTGTCTAGACGTTAAATTCACAGGCCATTTGGCCGTATCCGATGTAAACAACTTTTTTTGGTACGGGAGCAATTTTTATATATAGAAATAGCATAGCACCAACAATTTAATAATATATGTAATTAAAAGTAATTTCATAAAAATAATTAGATATTATATGCTATTTAATAAAAAAATGATATATATGTAAATTTAAATCTTTGATTAAAATCAATAATTCCGAAACTAACATATAATATAACAGTTACTCCCTAATATCGAGAGACAACTCGGCCCTTTACTAACTCGGTCCACTATTAAAATCCTGAGATCTTGAAAAATATAAACGTATAGGCTTATGATTCGAAAAACAATACCATGTAATTATTATATGAAATAAAATGAAATTAAGCTTTTGTGAAGCTAAGTATTCACACGTTATATGGCATTAAAACAAGTGTGTTCACCGGTGCAAGACAACCCGTCCTCAAGTGATATTTTTTAAATAAATACGAAAACCGTGTCACTCGATCAACTAAATATTAAGGAAGTAGGAAATTATTTTTTGTCCGTCTATGTTCAACATAAAGAATATTTATTTGTAAGTGCACGATTCGCATAACTTTTGTAGAGGCTTACTAGCAAGGCAATGCTACATAACAAATGCAGATGTATCTATATGCTCTGGGCATTGGAGGTTCGCCAAGGAAGACTTTTAGTAAGTTTTCCTATATATCTAATTAAGAGTCTATATAAACAAAGTGCACACCCCAATCCCCACCCCTAGCGAGAACAGTTTGACCCCAGAGACATAGTCATATAGTGTTTGACATTGTACAGAATCACAATTAATTAAGATGATGTTCCATGCCAAATATCAATAAAGCCCTGAGCTTACATTGTATAAACTTAGTACTTAAATAATGATTTTATATCAGTATGGTATTGAACTTGGTATGAGGAAGCATAAATGAGCCGCGTCACGACAAAACCAACATAATGCTTTTGCGACCAGCATGGATCCAGACTAGCCTGCGCATCCGCGCAGTCTGATCAGGATCCATGCTGTTCGCTTATCAACTCTATTACAAGTAGAGAAACTGATAGAGAACAGCATGGATCCTGATCAGACTGCGCGGATGCGCAGGCTGGTCTGGATCCATGCTGGTCGCAAACCCATTATGTTGGTTTTGTCACGACACGGCTTAAATATGCATGCGTTCTGCATATCATCTCATTATTATCAGCATTTTTGTCATTTCCAGAACATAGCTAGACTAGTTAATACAATAAGGCAGAATATCTGGACTTCAACTTAAATTTTATAACATCTTCATTGATTAATTCATACCAAACAATGCCAAATTTTGACTGCACCATATTTCATGGATAAAATATAATATATATATTTCATTTTTATGTAACCAAAACCATGGTGCTGTTTTATAAATGTATAATGCGGTGCCATTTTTGGGGAGTAGCAAAGTAGACACGGGTGTGTGATAAATACTGCTATTATATTGTTAGAAGACAATGTCATAAATACTGCAATTATATTGTTAGTAGATAATGTCATAAATACTGCTATTGTATTGAAATTAGTAGACAATGTCATGAATACTGCTATTATATTGATGTTAGTGGACAATGTCATGCGTACTGCTCTTATATTGCTGTTAGTAGACAATGTCATGTATAACGCTCCTACGTTGAAGATAACAGACAATGTCATAAATACCAGGGGCGTACCTGGAGGTATTTGAAGAATACGCCCATAAAAGTTGGGGGCCAGGGGGCCGCTAGGGCCCCCGGTGGGTCCAGGGCAAAGCCCTGGCCAGGGGTTCAGGGGGCCGGAGGCCCCCGAAAAAATTTGATTAAGCATCATTTTAAAAGGCTGAAATGCCATAAAATAGCTTCTCAAATGTCTTTCCCAGACTAAAACTTAACCAATATAATAAAAAAGTATTAAACGTATTACAACAAAATTACAACAAACGATTAGATTTTATTCCTTCTTCATTACTATTTACTATATATTTATTCATTCATTCTTTTTTATTATAATTTTTATGTTTTTATTTATTTATTTATTCATTTACATCTCTGTTATAATCTACACTTTAAATATCAAAGCCAGTCTTCTTTCTTTTTTAGCCGCAAAAATATCGACAATACGTTCAGCATCAAGCTTCTTTTCCTGGTAAATGTTCAGAAGTCCCAAGCCGGACAGCCTCTCAGTCGTCATGGTTGACCTGAGGTATGATTTAACTCTACGCATTGTAGAGAACGATCTCTCTGCAGTAGCGGTAGAGACCGGCACTACCATAAGAAGTGCCAAGCATTTCCTGATATTTGGATACAATGCTTCACTTGTGACTTTTAATGACTCCGTTAAGTTTTCTGGAGTCGTTTCTCGTTGGGCAGCTAGTGTTGGATCAGTCCACCACGTCCTCCACAAGACACATTCACGGAGGAATGTATCTTCGTCAACATCCAAGCATATCTGTAGACCCCTGTATAGTTCTCGGCACTGTGATACAGGAAGACCAGACTTTGAAACCTATAAAATAATCGATAATTTCAATATTACAATTTAAGCAAAGAATCAATTCTTTAAATGAAATAATGTTAAAAGAAGATTTCCTCGTTATATATGTAGTAGTAATGGATTCAATGAGCATTTTCATATCTGCAGTACATGTCTTAGTAATCAAGAATAAAGTTGATTTAAACATGTTTACAAATTATCATGAAAGCTACAATATAATGTGATTAAGTATTTGTCAAAATATATGTCGACATACAATTTCTCTCAGCATCACTCAGTACTGTTCACACAACGAAACATATAAAATGCCCAATTTCATACAATATTTTCTATTAAATGCTAACTGGAGAGATACTGGGTTTTATTGGTGAATTAAAATCCACATCACCAACAGTATATCATTTACACTGTGACCGAACTTGTTTTGGTGTACGCTTCAATTTTCATGATTCCAAAAATTTTGTAAATTAACTTGTTAATGGTACGGAAGCTTATCAGGGCCTACAGTTGATAAGATGTTTTACGCTAAGTTAACTTTTTTTTATTCGCATTGATAAGATGTTTTCGAATGTCTCAATAAAATTTACTGACAAAGATGAGAAGATTTAAGGCATTGCAACTGAACTTTTCTCGATATGCTCTCCGGCAAAAATCCTGTCGAAACTTCGTGATTTCACGACTTTGCTGAAATATTTAGTAAGACGCAATGACGTTTACTCGCATTGACAAATAGCTCAGGTAATTCAACAAAAGTTTTTTGGGAATGATTAAAAACTTATACGTATTACGTATTTATCATATAACGTCTTCACTTCATGGAATGTTTTTGGTCAAAACAAGAAGAAACAAGTTGACGTGACGTGAAACTTGTACTTACGTGGGGGGCCCTGATAAGCTTCGGTACTCGATTCAAATGTCATTATTTCTCTAAAAAAGTTAAACGTTTCACCGCAATGTTAACTATAAGCTTTAAATACGTTTGTTTGAATAGCGTTTTTCGCACAGACGTTGAATGTCTGACGAGCGTCGTTCAAATCAGTAATTGAAAATTGCGTTTTTTCTACATTTTAAGGCATCTTGAAAAGAAAATGTGTTAGTTTCTAATGAATATGCTATTTATCACACATAGAAGTGAAAAAATATTCACATTTTCACACGTGCTATATTGCAATTTTCTGACTTCTCAGTGTAATAGCATATTTACTCAAAATTAACAAAAATCGTCTATACGAGGGGTGATCCAAAAATTCGTGGACACGCTGCATAAAACAAAAAGTTATAAAGCAAATCACATGAAATTCTAGTGTCTGATTAAGTGAGCGTATGTCGAAAAATTCTCAAAATATTGTAAAAATTGTACAAGAATTAACGATTCTGCACCAGTTTATATACATAGACATGAGAAAACGCGGCGCAGCTCACGACGTCACAAACGACGTTATGCTATCATAGGAAGTAATCTATGTTACCGTTTTGCCTTATAACATTTCAAAGTATTCCCCTTTAACCCGCACACATTTTTCATGGCGGCGGACCCAGTCTCTAAATGTACTCGCATACCATTCCTGGCTGAATGATGACAGTATGCATTGGGTGGCTCCTCTCAACTTGTCCAGATTGTCAAAACGTTTCCCTGTCAACTCTTTCTTTAACCTGGGAAACAAGGCGAGGTCACACGGGGAAAGATCAGGCGAATATGGTGAATGACTGAGTACTTCTGCTCGAAGCTGAGAACTAGAGAACGACACATTGACGGTTTATTTGTCACACTTTCGATCATTGTTTTTGTCTCGCCGGGCGTCTTTCCAAGATTTACACAAAACTGTATAACTGTCCGAAGTTTTGCTGGATCCGTGACGTCCATTTTTGATAAAGCTTTTTTTAGCACCTGCTCTGTAAAGCACGAGCGTAAAATAATCGCAACTTCAAAATGTCTTCTAATACTGACAGAATGACGTCATACACCTTAAAACAACGTTATTATAACGTTTCCCGCAATTTTTTTTGTTTGCACAGGTTTAACATGTGTTTAAATGAGATGAAAACGTTAACATCACAGAGAAAAAGTAAGCTGCGCCGCGATTTTGATACTTAATGTTTTTATGTTGTCATATATAGATAAAAAATGCAATTGGTGTTTTAAAATTTGGTCAATTTATTAAAAAAGCATTGATTAATAATATCCAAAGAGTTCACCTCGGTAGGACGTCACGTTACGGAGATACACACATTGTCCACGAATCTTTGGATCACCCCTCGTACATCAATGTTTATTGATCTATTATAAATATGAAAACATGTCAATATAAAAGCATTTACTGACCTGACTTGGGATTAGCATTTGTGCGTTGTATCTAGGATTTGCTTGTAAAAGGCGATTCTCCAGCTCTGTTAACAGATGGTCAAGAAAAGGGTAATACATATTAATTTTCCAGAATTGCGATGATGTATCACTTGGGCCATTTGGGCGATTTCTCTGACGTCCGACGTTTCTTGGAATGCAGGGATCGACTCCTACATTCGAAGCAAGATCCACAGCTTTCTGGTACAAAGAATCCCAAACAGCAGTGTCGCCCCTTTCATTCTGTAAGATAATTCGAAAATATCAAAGCGTCACAATTATGTCTATAAGAAAGATATCTAGAGCGTTTATAAAATATTGATCGTTCTGTTGAGGCTCAGTGCAAACTACCTAACCTGAAATATTCTCCATACAAGTGACAAGTCTTTGCTGTACCTAATTACGGTTTTAACACCGTTAAAGTAAATTACGTTTGATTCATATTTATTTCATGCTGTCCAGAGGTTTACTGTAATATATCAGATGATTATGAGAACATAAACCACAAATATAATTTTCACTGTAGCCGGACAAGACCTGAATGCAGATGAAAAGAATATCATGAGTAAATGGAATAACTGGCAAAAAATGCCGTCATACATATACATTTTGCCTAAATAAAGGAAAAGAAAGTTGATGTCATCATACATCATGTTAAAAATTTAATAAACTTAGAGAAATTTAACAGAGCTATATTACAAAAGCATGATTATTTGTTTTAATTATAAGATTGAAATATATTTCATTCGGGAACACCAGCGTATTCTATTTTCACTCGTGGCTACGCGACTCGTGAAAATATTGCATCTGGTGTTCACTCAGGTTTGTGCAAAACAAACATATACCGGTATATCCTTTATGTAATACAAAGTGGGACATAAAAAATCAATCCTCATGACTATATCTACACCTTCACATGTAAATGAGTCTATTTTATCATAAGAAATATAATCCGTTCTGATAAAAACATTTGACTTCATAAGTTCTTGCTGTATTTGTGAACATAGGTGTACATGTGAGCTATGTAGATCTCATACAGTATAAAGAAAGAAAACATTTCTATTTATAAATCGTATCACTTAAATTTCTTGTATCATTAAGAATATGAATAAAATGACCAACTTGCCTTCAATGTAGCAATCACCACTCTAGTTTCTGTGGCAGCTCTTAAGAGGTCACAGGCTTTCTGCTGTAGCATGGTTGATAGTCCAACAAGTGCAGCAAGAACATGCTCCGCTGTTACAAGGGTGATTATAAAATCAAACTTTAGCACGGATAGACTATATGCAGCTGCCTTCGTGTCGCCATTCGCACCCAGGTCCTCCAGTGATGTTACTACAGTTCTTAAACAAAATTGAATTTGAATCAAACATATATAAATATATATAAAATAATTAAATGCGTAAATATTTCATCATTTAATACACACATGTTTTATTTCAATAGATATGTGTTTAATGTAAGACATTTGTCATTAAAGCATCTCGGCAAAGAATTCATAATTTATGCTTATATTGAATGTATCAAACACAGTGATACCTGTATGAGCATAAAAACGTGTGAAGAGCATCGGCCCTAGCTGCCCAACGTGTCTCACATAACGACTGAAGCTTCTGTCGCTCTTCCATTTCTTCACGGCTGGTGGGGTCACATCCGAGAGTTTCTTGAAAATTTAGCAAACGTTTTGCGGACATGTTAAAAGCAAACGCTACTGTCTGCACCGTGGCCATCATATTTCTAACATACGTGCAGTTGGATGCGTGGACAATTGCTAAGTTCAAGCAATGGGCCTTGCAATGGGTATAAACTGCCTCAGGATATTGTTGGCGGATCCTGGCTTGGACACCTCTATATAACCCGGACATATTTGAGGCCCCGTCGTATCCCTGACCCCTTATATAGTCCATCTGTACTCCTGTATGAATAAAGAAGTAATCATATCATTACAATTATAATAACCTTAATTATTATTATCAACATTATCATCCTTATTTCAGCCTTAATATTCATCATCATCATTATCATCATCATCATCATCATCAACATCATCATCATCATTATTATTATTATTATTATTATTATTATTATTATTATATTATTATTATTATTATTATTATTATTATTCATTTAAACAGCATTTTTAAAGAGATTTTCTATAAACTGTTAAAAACTGTTCTTTTAATATCTTTGTTTTATATTGCATACAATAATATACTATAAAATGTAAAAAATGTACAAAAGAGATTTGTTAAATCAGGTTGAGTGAAAGGACCCCCCCCCCCCCCCCCCCCGAAAAAATATCTGCATTGTAAAGATGCCAAACTTTTATTAATTTGTAAATCAAAGTAGGCACGGAAATTAATATTTTCAGTTTTAAATTGTGTTTAAACATGGATCTCAGAAAGTTATTTTAGATACTAAACTGTCGTAAATAAAGATATAATGTTATTTATGCAGTTTATTGTGTCAAATTTCTCAATCATTACCTAAACATCTGAGGTTTTCAAGAAAGGCGTTAGCCAATGCCTCCCCCGTGGTACTCTTGCACTCGGAGAAACCAAGAAATTCTTCCCTGATCTCGCTGTCCTTCAGATATCGCACACAAAGAGCCATTTGCTCCATTGTAGCGCAGTCTGTTGCCTCGTCTGCTATTAGGCTGAACATTTGAGACTGATTACATTCGGTGACGATTTCATCAGAAATAAGTTTGCCACATATGGCAATTATCTCGTTCTGAATCTTTGGAGAAGTGTAGCGCGTCCTTGGGTCTCCATTTTCCAGATGGTCTTTCAGAACTGGATTATTTTTAGCCTGAAATTCTAGTAGTGCTTGAAAGTTCCCCTTTCTGTCAGAATCAGCATCTTCGCGGTGACCACGGATTGGAATGTTTTGCTTTCCACAAAGCATAAGGGTATCGACAATCAGTGCCATAATTTTTCGGTTTTTCTCAACCAAAGCATTATATGCTGAGGATATACTGCACTCAATATCCTTTTGTTGTCGATTCTGTATCGCTACAAAGTTTTCTGCAGCAATTGAACTAGAGATATGAATATCAGATTTCCCGTGCTTATCTAAAATCTTTTTTATGTTACTCCAGTCTGTAACTACAGTTGTTGTCAGTGCCTTGCTGCGGGGATCAGAACCAGAAAATAGAAAACACGGGGCACAAAAGACCCCATCCAGCTTTACAGAATACCTCAGCCAGCTATAAGACGTAAACCAAGCCGGCTGTGGCGTCCTAAATCTTCCACTAGCATACCTGAATGTTAAAAAATTATTGAGTGTAAAATTTTTTACCGAATTATAAAAAAAAGACAAGAATGTCATTGAAAATTAAAATTATCATATTTAGATCTAGATTCTACTTAATATAATATTAAAAAAAATACATATAATAAAGAAAAAAAAATCACGCTGAAATTCAGGTTTTGAACCGACAGCTGAATTCTTCGAAACCACCGAGAGACATCCGCTCTAACCACTGAGCTATATAGCCAATATAAATTAATGGGTTAATATTAAGTATATAATATTATAAAGTCGTCAGATGACATTAAACTATTCGGCCGTATGTTAATTTAATTGTTCTCCATACAAGTTAGGCCACGCTAATAATTTAAATCTCAAATGAATATTTTTACGCGATAATTTGAATAAAGCTACTTTTTGATTATTTATAGATTCTAATTATAGGTAGAATGAGAAGCTAGAATCTACCTTGATGGGAATTTAAAGGCCTGCACATCATTCCATGGTTGAGTCAAAAGAACGAGCTTCTTGTTAACTTCTTTGAAGCTTTCTCCATCTCCAAAAGGATCAGGATAGGGCGGAATGAAATCTCCATCTTTAAAAGACATTTTAAAATTCCCGCCTTGAAAACTTGTAGCGCTAAACATTCATTCGGATCCCGAATAGAAACAACGATAAAAACCATCTTCGTTAGAGTTGCTTCCCGTTGACAAAGTAGATCTGCCGAGTACCGTATTTACGGTATTAGGCTACTTGAAATCTATACGTTTATTTCCATGTCTTTGTACATTACTTCACAGGATCGATCTAGTCAGTTTTGAGCTTAAATTTCAAGGGACCTACACTATGCCCCTTGATTTTTATTCCATTTTTGGAATTTCTAACTTTATCAATTTTTTGAATTTTCTTGAATTTATACGCCCTGGCGTATTGGCGTATCGGTAGGTACGCCCCTGAATACTGCTTTATATTGAAGTTAACAGACAGTGTCATAAATACTGCTATTGTATTGAAGTTAATAGACATTGTCATAAATACTGCTATTGTATTGAAGTTAATAGACAATGTCATAAATACTGCTTTTATGTTGGGGTTGATGGACAGTGTTCTAATTACTGCTATTATATTGAAATTAATAGACAATGTCGTAGATACTGCTATTATGTTGAAGTTAATGTCATAAATACTGATATTATATGGACATAACCTGATTCAAATGCTGCTTTAGTGTTTGACCAAAACGATGTTAATATTACGGTGGCATAGAGGGAACATCAGAAATATTTTATCTACTACGTGCGCACGCGATAGTTACTATGTGCACACGCGATAGCTACTACGTGGACCAATTATTACGTGCGCACGTTATAGCTTTCGCGTGCGCACGTAAGAGCTTGTATGTGCGCACGTAGTAGCTATTGCGAACGCACGTGGTAGTTATCGCGTGCGCATGTAGTAGATATCGTGTGAGCACGTTGTAGGTGGCCCCTTCATACTGTATTATATAGTTACGTCGAGAAAAAAATAACAAAAAACCTGAATGTGCTTCAAAATAAATATGTATTTAATATTTGCATATTTTTGTAGATAAAAATTGAATTTCATCGCACAAGTCTTGTATCATTCGTAGGATAGAAACCATAATGCTTGTTCCCGCATCCAAACTTTCTTGTCCAACCAAATGCAAGGCTGCCGTCAGCGGAACAAAACTTCTGTTTGATGCTAATATCTGAAGAAAAGAAAAAAAGAATAATTTGTATTGATATTACAATTTAACTTCCATGTTAGTATCTGAAAACATAAATATTTTTTAATGCAAAACTACAATTTATAAATATCTTAATTATATAGTATTTATAAATACGACTCATTTGCTTAACAATTGCAATGTAAAGGGAATCCATAATATTTCTTTTTAATATACCAAAAAAAGCTTTTGTAAAGATAAAAAAGTGTTTTTATAAAGATAAAAAGGTGGCATATATTGAGTATGATTATTCGCATAAAACGTGAAATTGTCTTACCTTGTTTCAACTTGAGCATATAATCTTTCCCTTTAACATCTACTGTGGAATTCGCCCATACATAATGCTCCTCTCGCCTGAATACTAAAAATATATCATTCATGGATTATTATCCTTTTTTCGGGAAAATTGATACATGTATTTCATTAATCAGTGATAACAAAATAATGCAGGTTTGCACTATTATCGTATACTTGATGATTTAGCAATGCATTATCTAGCTCAACTTTAATATTTCATTAATAAATTCTATCAAAATAATAAAATTGTTTAAACAAATATTAAAATAGCAGTTTTATAAGGAATCACTAATATCCTTTACCAAGCAAGAAACATGTATCTTAAATGGACTTGTAAATCTTTCAATCTTGAAAACAAAACAACAAAAAAACATTCGTCATTTTCACGGACAATTTTTACATATGTTCTAACTGGATAGAGTACAGTGCCAACCATGATCAGACAGCAAAGCTGATCTTGATCTTCACTGGTTGCATGGGTAAAATTAGTTGCCTGTCAGCAGGCCAATGAATTATCAATGAAAATAATTACGTTTCGATTCGCCATCTAGTAGAGATATACAACTCTCATGCTGCCTAAATCTTCTTTCATCTTTATCCATGACATAGAAATATGGATAAATGTAGACACTGTTCCCAAGTACATCACCAAGATGCTTCTGTTTAAAAGAAAAGAAATTTATTTTGAAAACAAAATAAGAACTGCAGTTTCTCCCCAATTCTTAGTACATAAGATTTAGTGACATTGTTTAATTTTTGTAAAAAAAAATAATATATATATAATGCAAATTTATGTTAGATATTTCCATAAAAGTAATTAAATTTCATAAGTATTCTTGCATAATACTAAATACTTTATAATGTTCCTTATCTTTTAGTTATCCTTTATTATATAAACATGAAGAAATCAAATCTTTTGATAATACCTCTTCAGTACATGTATACACTAGTAATAAAAGCAATTGGGGGGGGGGGGGGTAGATGGGGTAGCATATACTAATACTTTCAGTTTATTAATTTTTAGTACAGCAAGAATCTGACCTCATTAACGGCAGGATGGCAATACTTTAAGCAAACATCTCTGTAAAGCTTTTCAGCAGTAATGGCACAATCAAAGTTTCCAATTCTATCTATGACATCTCTGAAGCAGAAAAAACGTATGTTGTTTAAACCTGAAAACTGCTGAATGTGATTATCCTTTGCCTCAGTTTAGAGGTAGACAAGTCTGAACAACCATGCAGTCTGACTAGGCTCTATAAAATTGTAGCTCTATCAATTGTATAAAATTCTTTAAACTAAAAGCTGGAGTTCCTTTAATTTTGAATGGACTGCTTGGTAAATCCATAACGTTAATGGTTCAAATGAATCAAGATTAAACCAATCACAAATGGCTGATACAAATTTAAAGTAACAATAAATGATTAGATCCAAAAAAAAGTAAACGACCTAATAAAGATGAGGTTGAACGTATCTTTACAACCGTTAAAATGACAAATTCCGTTTCATATACCTAGTGAAAAAATACTATATTTGTAATAATCAGTTAGAAAGTTTTACCGTCACATATGCATAGGATATACAAACAGACAGACAAACGGACCGTGGGATAATTACTTTTAACCATTTAGAGAAAAAAATGCCAATATAAACTTACGGTGAGAAACGGCATGCTGTAGCTATTTTCATCAATGTTTTCATTCCCTCTGTCAGTATTTCCCTCATTTCTGTCTCTATGATGATTTTCAAGTCATTGTCCAACTGTTACAACATAATATCAGATAATACTAGATAAAAAATATAAAACAATTGCAAAAGTACAATAAAATTCCACGATGAATCCAACCACATAGCTAAGTTTTTTTATCTAGGTAACTGCATTGTCAATTTATGAAGACCACTGTTTAATTATCATGGTACTCATTTAACAAATGACACTCTTCTTAGTGTATCTGTTTTATAGAAATATCATGTACTTTGTGTATCTGTTTTATAGAAATATCATGTAGAAGAAAATCATGGACCATTGACCACTTAGAAACATCTCGTCGCTTGAAAAACGTTTTGTTCTAAGTGCCAATTTGTTGTTTTTGAGAAAAAAGCATTTAAAGATTTAGTATTGCATAACTTTTTTATTTATTGTCGGATTTTGAAAATTTAAAAACTACTAAACGTGGTGTCGGGAGAACAACTCAATATCGTTAAAGATATGTGGATTTTGATATTTCCTTGCTTAAAAACCTAAAAAAACATTTGGAGATAGAACAGTCCTTGTTACTTTTTTTCAAAAATTGTTAAAATCAGAGTGTTCAATGTGACTTAGAACATTATGTCTTTTAAGTTGAATTGATTTATATCATATAAAACAGTATGTTTCATCTTTAAAAGGCTGACAAAAATGCTCTCGGCTAATTATCCATTGATTAGTTGACTTTGACACTACACTATTTCTTAGACCATATGTGTCTAACTACATGAACTATGACATTCGAAATCTTATTAAAATCCTTAAATCCATTACATTATTAAATGACATTTTAACAAATAATTTAAGTAAATAAAGATAAATTACCCACATAAATTTTTGTAGACATTTTATCAATTTTCATAACTTTCGCCACATTCAAAGTGGTTCAATGTCTGGAAAAAGAAAGTTATAGCCGCAAACCGGAAAAGAAAACTTTCAACTTTTCTAGAATGCTAAGGAAATCTTTCAAGACTTTTTCATGAAAATTCAAAAGATGGTCAAATTCAAATTCCTTCCAAAAGTATGAAATAGTAGTAATTATTTTGTTATGCGCTTTACATGTTCTGTGTGTTGATAAGAAGTTCTTATAATTGAAGGTATGTAAAAAAATGTTTCTATAACTTAAATAGGCAATGAAAACATATCTGCTAGAAAAGACCTTAAAGGTGGAGCAGGCATGACTTATATTTGAAAAATGTCATATTTAAAGATTGTTCGTGTACAAAAACATTACAAACATAATGCTATATAAATATTCATTTAGAAATTCAAAGTCAAATTACAAGACAAACAAAATATACGTATAAGAATATTTTTCTTCCTTCTGTCTTTGGTATACAATGTGTTTACTTTAAAGCAATATTTTAGTTATATAACATTAACGCATTCGAAAACATATATTATATGTAAACGTATAATATCTATAAATTTTCTTAAAGGCCTTTTTTGCTTTTATCTTAATCTCTCAAAAGCTGAGTTCTGTTATAGTTTCCAAAATATTCCACATTGGTCAGTAACCTAAAACATCTTATGCTTTTGTTTCATATTGGCAATGAGTACAGTCAATTTTTAAACTCATATGTGTCTGTTATAAAGATAAATAATTGGTTTCTGAGACAGAATGTACCTTACGTTAAAGAAACTTTAGAACATATAACAAATTTTATTTTTTACGAATTTGTTTGATGAAATTGTATGATCACAGTTGTTTCTATCCGAAAATACACATCCGAAATTACTTTAAATCATGATAAGTTTTGTTTGTTGTTTAATCACATGCAGTAAATTTACAGGACTAAAATGTCAATGATTGGAGGAAATAAATGAATACATAATATCATTCAATACTTATATTTAGTATTAATATATTAAATAAACAACAAATTAACCATCTAACTCAAAATGTTTCGTACAACATGGCGGATGTCCTGCTATCACGTGATTTGATGCAATGTTTTGATACGATAATTTTGGATTTAGAACAGTATGTTGCATATATCCCACAGGTCACGTGACATTTATCGATGATATGATTAGTCCAGTATGTTAGAACAGTCTATTTATCAAGACATAGTAAATTTGTGGAGATAGAACAGGATGGTTTCGTTGTAATTTATTCATGAAGCTCTGAAGCACTAATATAACATGCCAAGGAGATAGAACAGTCCATTGCGGACAAAATTGTGTATTTAACTTGTTTTTGGTAAATTTGGAGATAGAACATAACAGTTTTCAAGCGACGATCTCTAAATTTGTTTTAAAATGATCAACATTCAGTTTGTATAGATAATCAAATATCTTGTATAATATTTATTTTCGGATATTTCAAAAATAGTACCTTATTCATACGTTCCTCTCTGATTTGTTTCTCTGTCTTGTACCTGGGGTACATCTTCTCGAAGGCCATCTTAAACTTTTCTTTGTACAGGATGTATTCTTTCGTCCGTTGTATGTAAACATTATGGGCTTCAAATCTCGCCTCTTTGAATTCATTTTGGTCATCAACATCGGCAGTAGCATATTCGTTGAAGTTGTCAGATGCAATATTCATCTGTGTGTATGCATCCCAACATTTCCTGTCCAGTTCTTTATATGCCTAATCATAAAAAGTTTATGAATAGAATTCAAATTTGATAAGCGTTTCTTATATTATTTTTTTTCTTTCATGAAATATATACTCTGTATACTAGTTTTGATGTTTTATATTTAGAATGTGTTACAATCCGTTTAGTGTTTTAGTGTACTGACTCATCCGTCACTTTAATGTTAGAATGCTCTGTAAAATGGTTTGATGAATTGTCATTTGTACGAACGTCACAAAATCTTTATGAAGAGCTCTTCAAACTACCGGAATAAATTTTATTAAAATAACATATACAAGAAGGTGTAAACTTTGAATAAAACAAAGCAGCCTTTGATTAACGTGACATCATTACAGTTGATAAAACTAAACTTATTGCAGTTTATAAAGTATTTTAAACTATATAATACATAAGAATTGTCAGCATTTCATTTCAGAATAAAAACTTAAAATTACCGAAATAGCTTCTTGTAAGGGTTCAAGTGCTTGCTGGTGTTTATGGCATACTTGCGATAATTTCCGGAACAATTTCTTACATGCAGCCATTTCTTCTTTTGGTAAAAACCTACATAAAATAAAGAGCAAATACAAATGGCTAGCTAGTATCGTATTTTCTAAATTGTTGCATGAACATAGTGTTATTCAGTGTAGTTGATATTTTCATAATGTTAATTCAAACAGTCATATCACATTGTGATATGTTAAATTTAAAGGGACTCCACTGAGGGTTTTTGACACGAGATGACTGGAAATTATTCCCCTACATTTGTGTACCATTCGATGTAGGTATAGACCAATAAATGCTTTGAAAATTTTCAGATCAATTCGTAATCCTGTCTTTCAAGAAAAAAAGTTTTATAAATGACTCAAACAATTCAAAAGCGTTGCAACGTTTTCATTAAATATATCGTGCTAAGAATCGCACATAAGCGGATATTCAATTTAACACAAAGTATTTTTCTTTTTTATCCTCAGCAAATCTAATTATTTTAAGTACCTCACTTGATAAATATAATAATTTAATTTTTATGTTTTTAGGCTTTTTGACCTCACTTGAGCTTTTTAAAAAATAAAGGTTACGGAAGTACGCGTATAAAGCTTTTTAACTTACGTATTATATGCCTGTCTTGTTCTTCTCAACCTATCAGTTGAAGGGCTGGACCTATTTGAATCCCCTTGGTCATTTTGTGGGTCATCTTCAGGCCAATAATCTAAATTTCCCTTCTCACGAGATATATGATATTCAAATGCAGAATCTTTCAGTAGATCAAAAGCCTCGTTCAACAGAGGAACATCTGTAACATAAGTCACAAGTTAAAAAAAAGTTTCCTTCCGGTCGTTTACTTTTAAGGAATACTGTTTGAAATACACTATGACGGCATAAAAATGCGATAGAATTAAACTTAAGTAGGTCTCAATATAACAATAATAGTACGTCTATGAAATAATATGAACGGAATTATCTTTGGACATTTGAACTGAAGATCATTGCTTAGAAAAATTTCGTCACAAAGTAAAATCAAGATAGAGATTTGACAACACAGACAGAAAGTCACATAAATATTAAATAAAGAAAGTGTACATTAATATACACGACAGATGATAATAATTAATATAAATGTATATCCGAATGTACATTGGCTTACTCCAAACTGAATAAAGAAAGTATGTGTACAGGAACATTTTTACTAAAATTAAAGAAAGTGTACACGAATACTTCTGTAATAATCAATATTCAATAAAGAAAAAAACATTCACATATATATGAACATACCCTCGATTAATCAATATAAATTAAAAAAGTAAAACACATGTACGGATAAACTGTTGATTAATCAATATTTGATGAAGGAAGTATGCATACAGGAATAAACTCTAGATCAATCAATCAATATTGAAAAAAGGATGCACACATGCGTGAATATACTCCAGATTTATTAATCAATATTGAGTAAAGAATGTACATATGTATGGATATACTCTATATTAATCAATACATACTCTAAACAATATACTAAAGATAAATCTTCATTAAAAATAATATTAAAAAACACAAAAATGAAATGGTAAATATTTATTACCTCTAAGAGGAGGGAATTTTGTGATCTTGGTTAATATCATTGCTGAAGGATCTCGTCCTTTTATAATTTCATTAGCAAATAATTCACACAGCTTCCGAAACTCAACAAACCGATTGGTTCTGCAAATTAAAGTAATTGAACAAATTATAATCGACCCATCATATTTAAGAACATCTTTTTGTAACGATTGCAGTGAATTGTCTTAATTAACTTAAAGCTATATGCCTCCAGATGAGTCAAAATATTTCAATAAAATAAAAAAAAATGTACTAAGATGTAAGGAAATTAAAAAAAGTTTCAAGATTTAAATAATATTCTACATATAATTTGCGATTAATGACTGTTTTTACAGTATTTACAACTATATTTCTACTGCGTCACTAACGCAGTTAAGGCTATATATGCATATTTTGGTCATTTTTTGGCAATTAACGTTGTTTGTAAGTGCCATTGATAATGTGTAAATTGCTGTCTTTTGGTTCCTTCACAATATTACACAAACTTTTAATGAAAATTAGCATGAATCTGTTGGCATGCTGCTTTATGTTTTAAAAGGTAAAATACGTTACTATGGTTCTAACCCAGTTTCAACAAAGGAATATTCAAAATGCCATCTGTAAATTTCTCCATTTACTTTATGATCGGCAATAATTAAATTAAGATAAACTTACATCAGAGTTCCGTTCTGCGAAAAGATAAATGAAGGCTGATATACAATGTCCATTCTGGTATTTTTCAATAATAAAGGATGACAGCTGAAGTTAGCTGCAGTTTTTCACAAACTGGCGTCGTTAAATGATTTGGTTGTTAACGTAATGACGTCATAAACGTTAGTACGTAATTGAAATGACGTTGTAGGTTATTTTAACGACGCATCATCACAATCTTCACGAAATAATCTCCCCTTCATTGTTTGCACAGATTGGAGAACTTCGTTCTAATATTTACAGCAAATTTTCCCCTTGAATTTGTCACGATTCATGTGACATTTTAGCAACCAATATGATTAAAAGTGATTGCCCAATATTTATAAATAAAGGAAATTAAATGAGTGTCGATTCTGTATCGAATTTATTGAACGAGTTGAATAAAACAGTCTGAAACGAGCCTTTGGCGAGAAGATTTTTTTATTAAGTTTGAGTTTTAATTAAGTTTAAGTTGGGTTTTTTCTTCATTGAATGAATAACATTTATGTTTAATGAGGGTCACAACCAAAATATGAATTAGGTACAGCGTTCAGTTAGCACCATAATAAACAGTAACCTGTCAAATAAAGAATGATAGCTGGTGCAAAGCTAATATCCGTCATTGAGGACTAGGGGCTCACCCAGGTACCCTTCGTTGTCGTCCCTTGCCACTCTCCTTGATTTCAGACAGAGCATCGGCAACTGGTCCGTAGAAGGCGAGAGTAGCTTAACTTCCAAATGCATTGTAGTAGTAGTTTGACCTGCTCAGATGTTGACCTGCTAGCGTAACCTTGGTGAAGCAAACTCCGACGAAGCTCCAAATCTTCGGCTGCACCCTTTGATTCCCTCGGCATGCACGTGCCGACGGGTGGGAGGTTATTTTGTTCTCTTGCTTTTCTCTGACTTTATTTCAGGCAGTAACGAAGTGAAAAATTCAAACTCTGAAAAACAGTATGTGATCATTTTCGTCCATTGCATAGAGACATTTCTTATGATCATTTTTATCATAGATAAATTTTTTCATGCATAGATACTTCATGCGATTATTTTCGTCCATTGCATAGTACCTGCATGTGACTAATGTACAGTATTCATTTGTGCATTAATTTATGTACTGTAAAGTCAAATATTTTCGCGAGGCCAAAATTTCTCGTAATCAACATCTGGGACTAATTGGTAGGACAAAGGATAAACATATCTACTGTCAGTTCTGTTTAATTCGTGTGATACTAAGCGATAATTTAACAAGCAATTATCATAGTATTGCAAGCAATCCATAAGTCCCCTACCGGTTAGAACCCCAACAACATTCTGAAAGGCCATTGGCCATTCACTAATGTTTCAATTTTTCTCTTTTTTAAGAAACTTTGTTGGAAAAGTTCTTTAAAAGTGATCACAAAAGGTTCTTTAAAAGTGATCACAGGAAACAGTTTTGATGAACAGACAAACTGTTGGACACTCTAAAGTTAATTTTTTAAACATCCCTGTTACCAAAATATAACCTTTTTTAAAAGCAAAATTCTTAAAGAGGAGATAACTCTTGAAATAAATATCCAAGATTTCATACATGATGTGAGTGTAACAAAGAACAATTAGTAATGAAGCTGCTCATAATGAATGTTTATTTTGAATTCGAAGTAAAAGAAAGTTAAAAGAATGAATAAGAAAAATTCAAAGTTTAAGGAGGAGATAATTCTGGAAATAAGGATGCTCGATTTATAAACATTGTAATATTATTATGATGTGGGAGTTTGAAGTAAATCCTATAAGTAATGAAGAAGTTGTAGTAAAATATACCAGTTTCTCGAAAAAATTTAAGTTCAAAGGGAAAATAATTCTGGAAATAGTCTTGCTAGAGTATTGAACCTTCTCACAAATGATTTGAGTGATAATAAGAAGTTTGAGGAAGATACATTAAGAAGTAAAACAACATTTTTTCATGTAAGTTCAAGGGAAGCAATTCTGATAATTTTTGTGCTAGAGTTAAATTGTCACATATGATGTGGTTGATGATCAGAAACTTATGTTTGAAGTTTGAAATAAATACCTTAAGAAATAAAGAACTTATATAGAAAAGCCTAAAAACTAGGATCAGAAATCTTGACGAGGTTGCCGACCTTTGTTAAGTATGACAGCTCTCAATATACATCCTATAGTCAAGATTAAAATGATGTGTATAATTTCCATACTACCATCTATCTATATTTTGAAATTTATAAAAATGTTCAGCTTTTTTGACTTATCACAAATATTGTTATATATGCCATATTTTAAGCCTATTTTTTGCCATGGCAACCAATCTTTTTCAAAATTTGTGATACACAATCTCCATACTGCCATCTACTCATAATTCAAGTTTCATAGAAATATTTTCAGTACTTTTTGCATTATCACTAGATAAGTGTTCTTGCATATCAAACTGGAATTTATTTTGTTTGCACCAGGCTGGAACATGTTACTGATACCTCCCAGGTGAAGAGATGTACATATATTGTGTAGTTTGACTTTCGATTGAAGTAAAAATGAAGTGAATTCACACTGTACTATAAACTAATTCACGTAGTGCTAAATGTCGTTATATCTTTTTGAACTATTATTGCAATAGAAAGGTGTTATACACTCGGAGTCTCCGGCAATTATTATTCAGTACTAACTCTACAGCCTGAAATCGCAATCGGAACACCTCGACGGTTACTTATTATTAGTCTGACGCAAAGGACCGAGAACATGCGGCGGCTGAAACAGTTACACTCTGACAGGACGTTCCCATGTTACTATTGTAATTGTTACTATTGTAATACAGAACATGGTTTCCTGGGGGGGGGGCAGGGAGGACAAATGGGTGGAAAATTTTGACAAAAGAAATGCTACAGGCAAAAATAGCGCTTGTTCGAATAATGGGCCAACATCTTGTTCATGTGACCATCTCATCTTATGATGAGTGGCAATATACTTTGCTTACATATGTGTGCAGTAATGTTTTTGTAAATATTTAGATGATATGGAATTAAGAAAATATATGTAATTGAGGTGGGCATGGGAGGGGTGTCCACTCTCATAGACTGAGAAATTTTGAAATGTGAGGTTGAAAATGGTGTTATTTCATTGACTTTCTAGTGCTGTTTATGGTACATATTGGATGGTTTAACATCACATTGTTTTTGTATAGATTAGTGTTTGCCGGGTCTTTTAAATAGTTTAATAGTAAGCATTTACAAAATAACAGCGCACATACCAATGTATCTGCGACTGTTGATAAAATTAATCAATTTACTCATCTTAATAATAGACGATTTTCCTTAATAAAGTGTTATTAAATTACTGCCATTCTATTGTACAAAAAAAATCAAACACATATATTCAATAAGAATATTTTTTCCATCGATGAATTTTAGATTATCACCAAAGAGGTCAGTACAATTTAAATCTTATTAAAAAATATAACTGCCATAAAAAATTTATGAAAGCAAATGACCATCATTTCATCTCTATATAAATCGTAATAAAACTAGTTATTAAAACGTGATTCCTTTTATATTATCTTTATAAAACTCGCCACCTTTTTTTTACAAATTTACAAATCATTATTTTCAATTTCTTAATTATAAGGCTTTCCCAAAGAAAATGGAAAAACAAAGATAGTTAAATATTGTGTACTATGTAACACATCTATTTGCCACTTTCTGTGACTATTCGAAAGTGTCTAACATTTGGACAGAATACCAAGATCTCTCCCAGGAACAGGTAACAGTGATACCCATCGGTGTCTAAATGGTCCACTATTATAGGATTTACACAATACTTTTATATACCATTTATCTTTGCAAAATTTGATTTTTTGGCACAGGTTATCGGCGTGGGACCAATCCCTGCCTCCAGAATCGTCTTTACTACAAAATCTCCTTCCATAATAGGTTTGGCTTCCAAAACTTTATAAGCCGAGTTTTCAAAATTTGCATTTTCTAACGGGATATATAGGAGAACATAGCGTTGCTGACGGCTAACGCCTAGCTCGGGTCATATTTATCTCATTCAGGCTATAATTTCCTGTATACATGTGTCCAGCCTGGAACTTGTATAGATAATTTCAAATATGATCACGAAGCGTTATTTCAAAATTACTTTTCCCCTTCTTACCTTACAGAATTGTACAAATTCCTTTTTATGAGTTAGGTACCCTAACTACATGTGTGTGTGTCCGTATTATAAGTTTTATAAAAGAAAGCATGTAAAGAGAAATAAAATCCTTATAACTACTTTCAAATTTAGACTTTATTTCTCATAATTTCTCTAAATTAGGATTTTTAAGGTCCTAATTTGGACTCACAAAGTCCTTTATTTTGCAAAGTCTTGTTAAGATTTTATTTCTGAACTCCTAATTATGACATACAAGTATTTCTGGTAAAATTAGGCTGTTAAAACTCTTTATTAAGAATAACAAAGTAGTAAATAGGCTTATTTATCATAATAACAATATATTGTTTTTAAATTTAAATAAGCTTCTTCATTTCTTTGTTACTTAACTCTTAATTAAAAGTTTAAAAGCCTTGTTGGAAGAAATATTTGTAGGCATTTTAACTCCTAATTGAAAGTAAAAAAAAACCTTAATAGACTTTAATTAAAAGTAACATAGTCTTAATAAGGCTTTAAAACTTCTTTTCACTATTTACTTTTTACAGAACATTATGATTAAGCATCAGGACTCTTCTCCAAAACACTTTTGAAAACGTCATTTGTTACGAGATTTTCGTTCGTGCGACCACATACACGCATCGAGGACATAATGGTAGGAAAGTGACAATGCGACCACATACACGCATCATAGAATTCCCCCTTCTCATAGGAGAAAGGGACAAAAAGCTGTTTGTCCGTATTCATGAAAGGACAGACTTAAAAATATGCCATTTCCTTACAGTAATTATTAAGGAGGCTATTTTAACAGATATAGTACGCAACGTAACGCAAATCAAGCGGGTGATAAGCTATCGTCATTTTAAGTTCGCAATTAAATGAGTTTACTTTTCGTTTTATGTATATAAAAGAATTATTTCATTTCTGCAAAACATGAACGTTTCAAAAGCGTTTTAAAAGCATTATACATTTCACACTTTGTTTGTGAATATTAAGTTCCTGGGGGCATTTTTTGCCAAATTATTTTCTATATTAAACTTGAACAACCGACAGTGCTGACACTGGTAAGAATAGGCAGATTTGTAAGCCTACTACTTAATTAACTTTCTGAATT